AGCAGAAACCATTATGAGAAAAAGCAAATATACAAAAATGAACCACAAAAGCCAAAAGATACTAAATCAAATAAATTTAACATTTCCTTCATACTTTCCAAACACCGTAGGACGTTCTCTTGCAGGGCCGTTCGATGCTGGAAGACGCGTGTATTTCACCCAATTAGGAATAGATATGGCGCGGCCGAAAAAAAGGTATACCCATCAACCACACGGTCTTTTCAGAAAAACCTACATCTCCAATGTCAGCGACAACGGTGCTCCCCACCGTGCAAATCAATGTCAATTACAATGAGCTCAAAACGCTGATTCGTGATTTCTTCACTCATTTCAAGGCCTCCTCCGATGTCGATCTCGATGTGGAACCTGAGTTGCAGGAGCTGGGTATCAAGTACTTGGATTTGTTGCAGAAGGTTGCCAACAGAGACGTCTCCACTCTCTATGTGGAGTTGGACGATATCAAGGCTTACCAGGAAAACCAGTTTTTCTCGTCCCAGCCCTCGCAATTGGGCCTGATGGACTTGGTCAACCAGATCCAGAAGAACACACACCACTTCACCGAGCTCTTCTCCTCTGTCGTGGACGATTTGATGCCCGAACCAACCAAGGATGTCTCCTACAAGGACGACGTTTTGGACGTGATCTTGCACCAGAGAAAGTTGAGAAACTTGCGTGTTTCTCAGGAGAACACCGATGAGCTCAACTCCTTGAACGCGGGCTTGTCTCAGCAGACCAACACAGACTGGCAAAACTCCCAGCAGCTGGGCGGCTTGTTGCAGGAGAACATGTTCCCACCCAAGTTGACCAGACGCTACCATTTGTACTTCAAGCCTGTGACTGGTAGAACCAAGGCTTTGGCTGTGAGAGATGTCAAGGGCAGCCACGTTGGTAAGATGATCACCGTCAGAGGTATCGTCACCAGAGTCACCGATGTGAAGCCTTCCGTGCTTGTGAACGCCTACACGTGTGACAAGTGTGGCTACGAGATTTTCCAGGAGGTCAACTCCAAGGTGTTCCAGCCTTTGACCGAGTGTACCTCCGAAGTGTGCAAAACAGACAACCAGAGAGGCCAATTGTTCATGCTGACGCGGGCGTCCAAGTTCCTGTCTTTCCAGGAGGTCAAGATCCAGGAGATGGCTTCCCAGGTCCCCGTGGGCCATATCCCCAGAACACTTACCATCCATGTCAACGGTGATTTGGTCAGACTGATGAACCCAGGTGATATTGTTGATGTTTCTGGTATTTTCTTGCCTTCTCCATACACTGGTTTCAGAGCACTCAAGGCCGGTCTTTTGACCGAAACCTACTTGGAGGCCCAGTTTGTTCAGCAGCACAAGAAGCAGTACGAGTCCCTCGAAATCACGCCAGAAATCAGAGAGCAGATGATGGCTTTGAACCGTGAAGGTAATGGAACCATCTACAGGCGTTTGGCCCAGTCCATCGCTCCAGAAATTTACGGTCACTTGGACGTGAAGAAGATCTTACTTTTGCTTCTCTGTGGTGGTGTCACCAAGGAGATTGGCGACGGTATGAGAATTCGTGGTGACATCAACGTGTGTCTTATGGGTGACCCTGGTGTGGCCAAGTCCCAATTGCTTAAATCCATTAACAAGATTGCCCCAAGATCCGTCTACACAACCGGTCGTGGTTCTTCCGGTGTTGGTTTGACCGCTGCCGTTATGAGAGACCCTGTTACCGACGAGATGGTGCTTGAAGGTGGTGCCTTAGTGCTTGCAGACAATGGTATCTGTTGCATTGATGAGTTCGACAAGATGGAAGAGGGTGACAGAACAGCTATCCACGAGGTGATGGAACAACAGACCATCTCCATCTCGAAGGCCGGTATCAACACCACATTGAACGCCCGTACCTCCATTTTGGCCGCTGCTAACCCCTTGTACGGTCGTTACAACCCTCGCTTATCACCCCACGAGAACATCAACTTGCCAGCTGCTCTCTTGTCTCGTTTTGATATCATGTTCTTGATCTTGGACCAGGCGTCTGAGGAGAACGACGAGCAGCTTGCAGAGCACGTCACCTACGTTCACAGAGAAGGAAAGCAGCCTGAGATGGACTTCACGCCGTTGGACCCTCATACCATCAGACAGTACATTTCAGTTGCCAGAACCTTCCGTCCCGTCGTCCCCAAAGAGGTTGGTGACCACGTGGTTCAACTGTACATCAGAATGAGAAAGGAGGCCCAGAGGAATGAAGGCTCCGTCAAGAAATTTGCACACATTACACCTAGAACGTTGTTGGGTATCTTGCGTATCTCGCAGGCGCTTGCAAGAATCCGTTTCGACAACGTGGTGAGACCTACAGATGTGGACGAGGCACTTAGACTCTTGAAGGTGTCGAAATCCTCGATGGACTCGAACGATGACGTGGAGAGAGAAGACGTGACCACCAGAATCATGGGCAGCATCCGTCGCTTCATCAGAGAGAATGATGCCGACAACAACACCATCAACGTGGTTGAATTGTACACCAGATTGGCTGGTATGGGCTACACGCAAGAGCAGATTGACCTGTGCATCAACGAGTATGCACACCTTGGTGTGGTGCAGCTTGTGGACGACCGTGAGTCGTTGTTGATTGTGGACTAAGGGTGTTGCAGAATGCGCACATTGATAATAAGGCTGACAGCGTATCGGGACGTCTAGTTGCCTACACATGTATTTTACCTTGAGCTAATAAAAAAGATAACAGGATGGTGAACGTAGGCACCGCAAACAAGAGCCAGAATCAACCAGGATCAGAAATTCCAGACAATCCAGACAATCAAAGTGATCTGAGACACAGTGACATTACAGACCTCCCCAACCCGACTGCTCCAATTGTATCAGGGATCCTCGAAAAGAGGAAACAAAGCATCAATGCCAGTCAGCAATTCTCAAGAAGAGGTTCTGCTAGAGATCTCCATGATCAAGCTCCAAGAAACCCTGCTTCCACGAATCGTGAAGCATCTCAAGAACCTGAACAAACCAATGAGCAGAAAGTCACAGATAAGCTAAAACCGTGGGTTCTTGAAAACAAGGGCTCCGTTGCACGAGACCACATGGCCAATGAACGGACCTTTTTGGCCTGGATGAGAAGCGCCCTTATGACACTTACTTTGGGTGTCGCTTTCATCCAGATGTACTCAATTTCCTCCAGAGCCACGCATGCGTTGGTGAAAGATGCAGACGAGAAGTTGAGGCAAAAGTTGACCCACGAGAATGCTGGTCTTGACGTCTTGGCCAGACCGTTATCTATCATCTGTGCTGTTTTCGCTGCTTTCATGGTATTTGCTGGGTATTGGCGATACCTCAGGGTGCAGCATGCAATGACCAAGAATCAGTTTCCTGTGAGTCGGGCATTCACGCTTACGGTGGTGTTGTTGGCATTGGTGGTGCTAGGTTTAGTTCTTGGGCTAGCTATCAAAACCGGTGGATAAGGTCTGCGTCGTTATTCACGATTGATACCATTAAAATGTCGAGTTAAGACTACAGGTGGACTCAGGAGTGGTTCTTGATGAAAATGGCCGAATTGGCATAAGGCATAGCATTAAGATGTCACAACTTGCCCGAAGGCCAGTGCCAATTGACCCAGTTGAGCCTTGTTTGGTACTGAACCAATTGGGCCTTATTGTCCATTCATTGGGCATAATCACAAGAATTCATCACATTATTAAAACGCCGGATATTCATATTTGAAGGTTTCTCTCCATTCTGGTTGTTCATCTCCACCGTACTGCAATTTCAAGCTTTGTTGCAGCCATTCACTAGCGAGCCAGACTGTTAGATCTCTAACGCTTTTATTCAGGCAACTACAACTGGAACATTACAATTGACATTACGATACGAAAATTATTAAAAGACACCTTCCCCGGCCCTATCAGCCACATGGCCCATCTATCCATTGTAGCTTTATCTGCGGCACGGTGAAAATGTATGGATGCGCGTTGGACGAAAAACACCAAGCAACAACAAGTGTTGGTACTTTTGTTGATACTCACAAAACACCTACTATGTCAGACTACGCGTCGCTCACGGTGGCCCAATTGAAAGAGCAGCTCAAGGCCAAGGGATTGGCTTTGGACGGCAAAAAAGCCGACTTGGTTCAGCGTCTTGAGGAACTGGACTCCAAAGCTCCAGAACCAGCCAAGACAGAAGAACCAGCACCTGCTCCTCAGGCCGAAGAGCCAAAGCAGGAAACCACTGAAACCACCCAGCCCACGACTTCTGAAAACGGCGATCAGCTGCAGCCTCTGGAAGAAAGCAAGAAGCCAAAGGAGTTGACTCCAGAGGAAAGAAAGCAGTTGGCTGTGGACCTTCTTACGAAGAAGATCCAGAGAGCCGAGAAGTTTGGTGACGAACAGCTGGCTGAGGCTGCCCGTAAGGATTTGAGCCGTGTGGAGAAATTCGGTGTGGATCCCGGAACTGCATTGGCCAAGGAGATCGGCTTGGTTGACAAGCAGGTGAACCTGGGCTTGGGACACTTCAAGAAGCACCGTGGCCACAAGAACAAAAACAAGGGCAAAAAAAACAGAAACAAGGGCAAGGTGGGTAAATAGGCGGCCCGCCTCGAGAGACAAGCTGTATGGAGACTTCGTTCAATAGATATCAAAAATGTACGATTAATGTATGGCCTGGGTCTCGGTAGCCGAGTCAATCTCCGAAGAGCCCGTTTGGACTCTATATAACTGGTGTGGAAGCGGTTATGACGAGCAAGTTTTCACGGAATATGGGGTATTGCGCTTTATGAAAAGCCGTTATAATTGAAATTTGTAGAGACTGAATCCGCAAAATGCTGTCTTTCTGAATGATCTGCCATCGAAGCTTTTTGAAATTTTCAATCCTTCTATCTTCTCGATTATCTCCAACTTAGCCGTCTTGCGCCGTCTAGCCGCCACAGTTATTGCAAATCGAGAGCCACATCTTCCTCATATAATGAAGCGCTTATATAAGTTTTGCAGCTTTCTTGAAAATGTGACATCTATCTAGTCTATAGCATTTATTATGGCCCCCGGATACAAGGTCTTCTTCTCGGAGCTTGACAACCCTCAGCACTATGCTGAACTTAAAGAGAGCATCAAGGCTGGAAAAATCACAGATGCTAAGGAAACCGTCAGTGAACGTTCCAAGCTTTTATACCCTGAGTACTTGGTTTCTGCCACTCCTGCTGATTCCAATGCTTACAACAACCAAACAAACCCAGATGGTGCCAAAAACGATAAAGGTCACCTAGGAGACCCGGAGTTCAAGAGCTTGTTCAACAAAGATCATAAGAAATTCGACTTGTCGCCAAACTTGGGTACCGAAATCGACGGGATCCAGCTCAGTGAGCTTGACGACCAGGGAAAGAACGATTTGGCTTTGTTCCTTGAAACCAGAGGTTTGGCTATTTTCCGTAACCAGGACTTCCGTGACAAGGGTCCTGAATTTGCGGTGAACTTTGGCAAATACTTTGGCCCATTGCACATTCATCCTGTTGCCTACTCGACCGAAAAGCACCCTGAATTGTTTGTGACTTTCAGAAAAGCTGGTGATGGCTCCAGATACAACGAGCAGTTCAGACACACCACCAGCACTATTGCGTGGCACTCGGATGTTTCCTTTGAGGAGTATCCATCTTCATTCTCCATCTTTGTCGCTTTGGAAGCTCCAGAAAGCGGTGGTGATACTCTTTTCCTTGATGGAAGAGAAGCCTACAAGCGTTTGTCTGCACCAATGCAAAAGTTCTTGGAGGGTCTCACGGTGATCCACTCCAACTACGGTCAGAACAAGTTTGCTGCTCTTCGTAACCAGGTGGCCAGAATCAAGGCCGACTACTTCACAGAACATCCGTTGGTGAGAACCCACCCAGTTACTGGTGAGAAGAGTTTGTTCTTTTCGAGACTCTTTGTTCAGAAAGTAAAGGGCTTGAAGCAGACCGAGTCCGATGCTATCCTCAACTTCCTCGAGGACCATGTCAACAACAACCCAGAGATCCAGGTGAGAGCTGCCCACAAGGGTACGGACTCCAGATCTGTGATTTTGTGGGACAACAGAATCTTGATGCACTCTCACTGTAACGATTTCTTGCAGCACGAGACCACGGCCAGACACCATTTCAGAGTCACTTGTATTGGTGAGAAGCCTTATTTGGACAACTCTGAGAGTTCCAGCAATGAGAAGCCACAGGCCTACTAGGTGAGGCAGAAGAGGATATGAAAAATATGATAAAGAAGCAAAATATGTGAACGAGATTATAGAGAAGCTTTAGTTCTGAGCAAAAGGATAGTGAAAATATGGCGCAAGCGTCTGGAATGAATGCAAAGGTATTGAAGCAATGGTGAAGTGTAGCTGACAATTGAAGAATCGTAAAAATGGCCAATTAATGAAAAAACGTCATTCTCAATCAGAATTGTTATATGGGGTGTGGTAGGGTCCAGCCGCTCGGTTCCAACATTATTGACTTCCTTGCCCCATTGCACCATCATTGCTGGTCCACCATAGAGCATATTCCCCAAATACCATTGCAGACCCCACACGGCCTCCGTAGACTCAATGGACCGATAATCACAAAATTCAACCAAAAACTCCACCCCTCAGACCAACTTTTCAAAATTTCTGGAATTCCGAACCACGTTGATGTCAGCAGCGCCTCACCGCCCATTACCGAGCCTTCCACTCACCAGCCACCTGGTTCACCTTGTACGGTCAATTTCTGTCAGAATCAGAAATTTCAAAAAAAACACAACAAAGCCACTCAATTCGTATAAGCGCCTCACAATTTTCTCTGTCCTTGGCTCCTAACGTTATTCCCCTCCGACTCTGAAATTTGCACCCACTCCACCTCCACTTCTCATTTCGCACAAAACTTATCTCAACTAACCATGTCCTCCGAACCTTATTACGAGGCACTTCCCCCTCATTTGAAGCCCAGACACTACGATGTGTCTGTCTTTGACCTCGACTTGGAACATGACTCCTACAATGGTGAAGTGGTGATCGACTTGGACATTGTGGAGGAGACGGATGAGTTGCACTTGCATTACCGAGACTTGGAGATCGGCGATATCAAGGCTAGCGTCGGTGACCGTGTGATTGATGCTACCGTGTCGGACCGTTTCCCAAAAAAGGAGTATTTTGTTATTAAGCTTGCGGAGAAGGTGCTGCCAGAAAGCTCAACCGTCCAAGCCTCCGTGAGCTTCAAGGGTGTTATTCAGTCAAACATGGCTGGTATGTACAAGTCCTCCTACAAGGACAATGGCCAGACCAAGTACATGATTCTGACGCAATTCGAAGCCACCGATGCCAGAAGAACATTTCCTTGTATGGACGAGCCTGCTTTGAAGGCTACCTTTGTGGTGAACATTACGTCTGATAACGCCTACACCGTTTTGGGTAACACCCCTGTGGAAAAGGTCCAGGAGAAGGGTGACCAGAAAATCACCTCTTTCCAGAAAACGCCTGTCATGTCGACATACCTCTTGGCGTGGGCCTTGGGTGAGTTTGAGTTTATCGAGGGCTTCACTGAAGAGAAGTACTACAACGACAAGCCATTGCCTGTGAGAATCTACACTACCAATGGCTACTCGAAGGACGCTGAATTTGCGCTTTCTTTGGCCCCCAGAATCGTGGATTACTTCTCGAAAATCTTCGAACAAAAGTACCCTTTGCCTAAGTTGGACCTTTTGGCAGTGCATGCTTTCTCGCACAATGCCATGGAGAACTGGGGTTTGATCACTTACAGATCTACTGCTCTTTTGTACAACCCTTCCACTTCTGATCCAGAATACAAGCAGAAGGTGGCCTACGTTGTGGCTCACGAAATTGCTCACCAGTGGTTTGGTAACTTGGTGACTATGCAATGGTGGGACGAGCTTTGGCTTAACGAAGGTTTCGCTACCTGGGTGGGTTACGCTGCTGTTGACTACTTGTTCCCTGAGTGGGATATCTTCAGTGCTTTTGTCTCCACCTCGTTGCAGACTGCTCTCAAGTTGGACGGTTTGAGAAACTCCCACCCCATCAAGGTTCCCGTGGTCAATGCCTCTGAAATTGACCAGCTTTTTGACCAGATTTCCTACTTGAAGGGTGCATCCACGATTCTTATGCTCTCGGCATATTTGGGAACTGGAACTTTCCTTAAGGGTGTTGCTCACTATTTGAACGTCCACAAGTACGGAAATGCCACCTCGCTAGCTCTCTGGAAATCTCTTTCTGAGACCTCTGGTCAGCCGGTGGATGAAATGATGGAATCCTGGATCACTAAGATTGGTTTCCCTGTTATCCAAGTCACCCATGAGAATGGAGACCTCGTCCTCAAACAGACTAGATTTTTGAACGGAGGCGGCGTGAAGCCCGAGGACGATGAGACCATCTGGTGGGTGCCTCTCAACGCTGACGGCGACAATGTGGAGCTGTTGGGTAGAGACTCCGTTGACCAAAAGGAAACTACAGTCAAGAACTTTAACTTGGAAGGCTTTTTCAAGCTCAACCAGGATTCACAGACTGTGGTGAGAGTGGACTACTCCCAGGAAATTCTTTCGAACCACATCTTGCCATACTTCAAGAAACTTTCCTCCAAGGACAAGGTGGGTGTTATTGCCGACGTTGCCTCAATCGCCATTTCTGGTGACGAGAAGACGGACACCATTACGTTCCTCGACCTTGTCAAGTCTATCGTTCTTGACGACGATTTGATTGGAGAGCTGTATGTCGCCTGGTTGGAGCTTTGTTCCCGCTTGTCTGCTTTGAAGACGACCTTCAGCGGTGAGGACAAGGATCTCAGCGAAAGAATCACTCGTTTCATCCGCCTGGTCTACTCCAAGTTGGCCATCAAATTGCTCAGTGAGGAAGTTGATGCCAATGACGTTCTCAAGACTAAACTCAAGGCACATATCTTGAACAGTGCTGCTACCTACCAGGTCCCTGAGGTGAAGCAGCTAGCGCACTCTTACTTCGGAAGCTGGAAACAGTCAAGGACCATTGATCCAGCTTTGAGATACTTCACCTTCTCGTCTGTCCTCTCGTCGCTGGACGTTACTGAAGACGACGTGAAGGTGGTTTTGGACGAGGTGATCAACCCATCTGCTTTGGACTCCAGAGAGGTTGCCTTGAGTGCCTTGGGTAACATCTCCAGCAAGGAGCTTGCAAAGAAGATTATTGCCACCCTTATCGACATTAATGTTGTGCCTGTTATGGATGCCCACTTTTTGGCTGGCAACCTCTCCAAGAACACTGCTGTAAGAGACATTTTGTGGGACTTTATCAAGGACAACTACAACACCATCCACAAGTTGATGTCCACGAACATGGTTGTGTTGGACCGTTTCATTCGTTTCACGCTAGGCAACTACCAGCTGGAAGCCATGGCAGAAGACGTCGAGAACTTCTTCAAGGACAAGGACGTCAACGGATTCGAGAGATCCTTGTCACAGGTGTTGGACTACATCAGGATCAACGCCGCCTGGCTCAAGAAAGACCAGGATCGTGTCAAGCAGTGGTTGACCGAGCACGACTTCTAATCTCTTTGTACCAATCTACGTACTATCATAAGTTTTCAGTAAGCAATGTCTATGTAAGCGAATATGGGTTGCACCGCTTGTTTAAGCGAGCTTGTGGTCGTGAGTGGAAGCGTATCTTCCAGATGGGTCAGCGTGACAGCCCCATTCAGCCTTGGGCACCCATCTCATGACAGTTGTACCGGCAGCCTTGGAACCGTGGAAAACCTCGTCAAACTTGCAACGGTACCAGTAGGCCTCCTTGGTGGTTGGAACGTCGTCACCCCATTCAGGCTTAGGGTTGGCAAGCTGCTCGTCAGTAACAGCAGCCTCGGCAGCATCCTTCAAACCGTCGATCCAAGAGTAACCGACACCGTCAGAGAACTGCTCCTTCTGTCTCCACAAGATCTCCTCAGGCAAGTATGGCTTGACGTCAGGCTCGTCAGAAGTGTCGAAGGCCTTTCTCAAGATGTACTTTTCGATCTTGCCCTGCTTGGGGTCGATCAACTTGTCCTCTGGGTTGATGTTCATACAAACCTCCAAGAACTGCTTGTCCAAGAATGGCACTCTGGCCTCAAGACCCCAGGCCATGGTGGACTTGTTGGCTCTGAGGCAGTCAGCGTAGTGCAAGTTCTTGACTCTCTTGACACACTCCTCGTGGAACTCCTTGGCAGAAGGAGCGTTGGCGAAGTACAAGTAACCGCCGAAGATCTCGTCGGATCCCTCACCAGAAAGCACCATCTTGACACCCTGGGCCTTGATCTTTCTGGACAAAAGGTACATAGGGGTGGAGGCACGGATGGTGGTCACGTCGTAGGTCTCCAAGTGGTAGATGACGTCGTTCAAGGAGTCCAAGCCTTCCTCCAAGGTGAAGGTGTGAGAGTGGTGGATGGTACCGATGAAGTGAGCCACTTTTTCAGCAGCGATCAAGTCTGGAGCACCGGGGAGACCAATGGCAAAAGAGTGCAAACGGGTGAATCCAAGGGAGTGCAAGGAGCCGTCGGCGTCAACACCAGAAAGCTCCTTGTTGGCATCGATACCGTCCTGGGAAAGAGCAGCAGCAGCCTTCTGGGTCTCTCTGGCAGCAATGGAAGCAATCAAAGAGGAGTCAAGACCACCAGACAACAAGACACCGTAAGGCACCTCGGCCATAAGTCTCTTTCTGACAGCCAACTCCAAGCTCTCTCTGACCTCCTTGAAGTCCACACGCTTCTCAGGAACCTGGGCACCGTCCCACCACGTAGGAGTGAAGTAACGGGTGATTTGGTCGGTGTTGGAGTCGTAGACGTGGCCTGGAGGGAAGGCGGTGATTTCGTCACACTCGTCAACAAGACACTTCAACTCAGAGGCAAAGTAACGGCCCTGAGGGTTCTTGGAAGACTTACCCATGTACAAGGTGGTGATACCAATGGGGTCTCTGGCAGCCAAGATACGGTCCTCCTGCTTGTCGTACAAGACCCAGGCGAACATACCGTCCAAGTGCTTAGGAGCATCGATGTCGTACTTCTGGACAGTTGGAATGATGGGCTCACAGTCAGAGTGAGACTTGTAAGGGTAGTCGGGGAACTGCTCTCTCAACTGGATGTGGTTGTAGATCTCACCGTTGACGGCAAGGGAGTAACGGCCGTCCTTGGACACGATGGGCTGGGCACCGGAGTCCAAACCAACAATGGCCAATCTTTCATGGCACAAGATGGTGTTGTTGGCGATGACGTTACCAGACCAGTCTGGACCTCTGTGTCTGATTTTTTTCGTGTTCTTGAGGGCAACACCCTTGAACTTCTCGATTTCGGGCTGTCTGTACGCAGCGTAGATTCCACACATGTAGCTTGTTGAAGGTGTTTTAGTTTTCGTGGAATTTTTCAATGAATCATCCCAGTTCCGGGGGCTGATGAGGTGTGGCACGTGATGTCGCTCTTACTTAAGCTGCGCTTGTCGAGATGCTACCCTCGGATTGCTATGAGTCAGCACATGGCGTTGTGCATCTGCTGTAGGATGGTGGCTCGGTTAGCTTATTTTGTGCAGCCGTTGACTTTGCTGGTTTGAGTTTGACTCTGTTTGGGATGGAGAAAGCCGTTTACGGTTGAAGTTTGTGGAAGTGTGTTCTTGACGTTGGCTGCGAATTTCGGAGTAGGTATCGCGAGACGGTGATAGACCGGTACCGGGCTGCAAGTGAGACAGTAGGTTGAGGATGCATTTGGGCAGATGGAACGAAAGAAGTTGTAGAGGGTGTGGAAGGCTGGACAATTGTAGTTTTATGAAGATAGGGGTGGTTTTTTTGAATTTGATACATCAAAAATTGATGTCTTAGTGTGGTATGCAATAAGGCGGCCGGGGGTGGCATGAATACGACTGACTACCATCAGGTTTTGTAGTCAATGTATTTTCAACATCTTTGAGGAAAAGAGAAGGAATGCTAATCTTCCCTCGGATTCGTTGCTGCAATGAGTGCTATCTGGCGTTTTACATATTGCAAAGCGATGCATTATCTAGTTAGAACAGTGTTGGGAATCCCAATTGGGTTCTGGATTATTTTCGGTATGGACAATCGATTATGTTTGTGACACTGGAAGTAAGAGACGAAATTTCAAAAGTTATTATTTCCCCGAGATATTTGCATTCTCGAGATCTATCAGTTGATGCAATAATTGTCGCAAGACTACAAACTATGCGGGTAGAAAGCAATGAGTTCCCCATCAAAATCGACAAACACTATGAGTTGCAAGGTCCATTCAACATTCTTACAAGGTTAAACTAACATTCGACTAGGACAGAGAATTTAAGAAAAAGCCCATTTCAATTCCATAAATGGTACACTTACCTGACCATTAGACCTTAACCACCCAGAAAGTGGTACGTACGCCCTCGTGAATCCTTTAAAGTTCTTTTCAGAATATAAGGAATCAAAAAGAATTCCAATTCATTACTTTTTGAAATCGTGAAAATAGATCATCCATATACATGTTCTTGGGGATTCTGGAGGCCTCTGCCTGTGCGGTGTCTGCACGACCAGTGGCGCACATTGATATCTCGACTTGAATCGTACTAACAACCAACCCACATCCACATTAAATCACACAATGGCCCTTTCCAAACTCGCTGGTGAGTTGTATCAATTATACGACCATGACAAATACTCTGAGTGCCAGCGCCTCCTCCCTCCACTCAAGATGGAATTGATCAAGCACAACTTGCTTGTTCCGGTACCCTCCAACTCGCAAACGAAGGACCAGCTCAACGATTTGAAGATCTCTGAGAGAATTCTTGAAATCGGCGCTTTGCTGTCTTTGTTGACTCACGACTACGCTGGCTTTGAGAACTTCTTCGCCTCCTTGCGTCCATTCTACACATCTTCCAAGTTGCACGGCAAGTTAGAAACCAACACCGACGCAACCAAGATTATTGCATTGTACTTGTTATACTTGCTTTCCCAGGGTCTTATAAGCAAGTTCCACGTTGAGTTAGAAACCATTTACAACAGCCCCTCATACAATGTTGAGCAAGACAAATACTTGAACTACCCAATCGACTTAGAAAGAAACTTGATGGAAGGTAACTACATCAAGATCTGGAAGTTGCTCCAGAATGAGTCCTCATTGCCTTCAAAGGAGTTTCACCTATTTACGCAAACCTTGATCAACACCTTGAGATTCGAGATTGCCAAGTCGATCGAAAAGACCAACGACTCCATTCCCGTCTCGAACTGCAGAACCTTGTTGTACTTCCCACAGGAGCAGTCCGATAAGGCGTTTGAGGAAGCTTTGAAGCAGGATCTTGAGGTTGAGGACTGGGAGTTCAAAAACGGTGTCATCTACTTCAACACTAAGAAGTCCCAGGGCGCCTTCACTGCCGACAACTCCTCCATCATCAGCAATGTGTTGGACTACGCAGAACAGATTGAGTCTATCGTTTGATGAGATTTATTCTAGAGAGTTGAAGAAGCCTTTGTAGGCCTCGTCGAGCTCGTCCAAGAATTGGTCTATTTCATGCTGGGCCAACTCTTCGTCGTCTCCCAAATTGTTGAGCTTTATAAGCCAGCCAACAAGCTTCGATTTCCCAGGAAAGTCGATTGGCTTAGATGCGTCGTTTTCCCGCAGCACCAAGTCGTTCAAGCTGACGACTAGATCACTTAAAAGCGGGTGAAGCTGGGACTTAGTCTTGTAATTAAGCTTCAATGCATCCATGAGTGTGATGAAACTGCCTGTAGCCTCTGCCACAAGTCTTGCCAGCGCCAGCGCTGATGCCGGTCCTTGGGCTGTAGATTCTTCCTTTGGTTCGGAAGAACTCTCCACCACGGTGTGAAAATGCTGTATAGTTGCTGGAACGCCAGATGTAAGTCTCTCCACTGCAAGCGGAACGTGCATTCTGAAAGCTCGCTGCATTAGTTGTAAAAGATTGGAGTGTGTGTCATCAATACCAGGTAGAATCTCAGCGAGAACCTGTTTGTGTGTGGGAGTCTTTCCGAATCCCTTCACAAGCATCTGATACTGGTTGATCATGCGCATGACTGTGGATGTGTACTTCTCCTTATCAGTGATGTAATCCTTCAAGAAGGAGTTTTCGATCATCTCCATTACCGTTGCTATGGAATATATCTCACATAGGGATTCATAGACTGACTTGTGCACCGTCGTGGTAAGCAAAGAGGTTCTAGAGAACTCTTGATGAAAATTGACATTTGGATTGTCTGCCGGCTGGTATGAGGTATTCGCCGTTGGGGCGTAGGCAGGAAGACCAGACATGGTGGTATATGTCGTGTGTTAGTGTGGTGCAGGAAAATCAACGGATTTGGTGAGAGTGGGATGCAACGGAGTGTCTATTTTGTATTATTTACTCGATGCACTTAATTATCAGTTGGCCGTAATTGTCCACTGTGTAGCCAAGCGCTTCCCAATCGGCCTTGTTGACTCTGTAAACGACGGGTGGGGGACAGAAGCGTTGGAGAAGCATGTGCACTTCTTCGTCTTTGAAAGAGGCTGCAATACGATTCACAGTCTCTTTAGTAAAGCGATCGCGAGCTAAAAGACATTCCCCTTTGATCCAGCTGAGCAAGTACTCGCAGCTGTCTCGGTCAAAGGGAGAGACCGTCAAAGGAAGCGTGACAACGGTGTCTTTTCCATGACTGATTTTCACCTTCACGATAATCTCATAGCGAATGGAAAAGAGTCTTCCCAGGGTTGTGAATCCCTGAGTATGTGTCACTGGAATGCCTTCTGCCGCTTTAGGTAGGTTTCTATTTTTGTTGAATGTAGCGCTGGGGAATTTGACCGAGAGTTCCTCGTTGTTAATCTGTGCATCAGATAAAGAAAAGTGATGCACGAAGTCATTATCATATGGAAAAGGAAACTCAAAAATATGCGTCGTGCCGTCTGAAGTGATGGGTTTATCGCATTCATCAGTGTCACTGCGCAACTTGATTTCTCTCTTTACTGGAAGACCCGAGTCAAAGCCTTGCATGTACTCTTTGATTTGCATGGTCACCAGCTTTAGTCGGAGGTTCCTTTTCCTTTTGTTATGTAGGGGATTGGCGCCAATTTTGACTCGTAGATGGAATGGATCCAGCGGACCTAATGAGCTGATCGGTAGTTCAAGATCCACCAAGACCTGGTTATCGGAGGTGGGCCGCTGCTCCACCAAAGGCTCATTGAACTGGCGATACAAAGGAAGCGTATCGTATAATTTTATAGGGATGGCGAATTTCTCTTCGAATGAAAACTCGGTATGTGGTGAGGTTCCACCTGTGAAGCGGACACATAGGTAATGAACGGTTGAGGCATTCCATGATGGAAAGAACCCACTTGACGTTATTGTTCTGGGTATCGGTATAAGGAGGGGAATGTCCAAGGCTATTAATTTCTGGTAGAACTCTCCCATTGGAGGAGCATAGACCATCGGATCTTTACAGAGCATGTATTCTTTCATAGGTTCACTGGAGCCCAATTTCGAGGAGATAACGGCTTTTTGCTCGGTTCTAAGCTCAACCCCAATCAGTCGGCAGGTGAAGTGTTTCGATTTCGAACATCGTATTTCTATGGTTGTTTCTATCCTCGGCTGATCTGTTAGTATAAATCTTCAGGAAAGCTTAAATGAGTACATACTATGGAGTGGGGAACGCCAGGTGCACCCTTGACGATACTTTGCCCGTCGGTTCGTAGGCCGATATGGACTGGACACTCTAATTTTGGAGGTGCCATAGTATCGGAATTTGTTCGGTACGAGGATGTAACTCCGGGGTAGAGCTGATGTGGTCACGTGTATTCCGTTGTTTACAAGAAGATGGATGGTTTCGATGCATATTTTATTTTTGGTCATAAACAATCATAAAATGTATGGGATGATGGCGTACTTGACGTCGTAGTTGTCAAACTTCTCCTTATAGTACAATCTGGTACCGTGCGCAGATACGCTGAGGTTGGTAATGACGAACACCCAGGTGCCAATGAAGTTCCAGTCGGGAATCGTATAGGGCTCCTGAACAAAGGAAATAAATATCACAACAAGGTAGATTATCACCTCGTCGAAGTAATGTGCACATGCCACAAGCTTGAAGAAGTTGAATGTGGGGACTGAGTACTTGACCAAGGAGGCCAAGTGCTGGTGGTTTTTGAACTGGTCGACGGAAAAGGCAATAAAAATGGTGATGAGCAAGTGGTATTTCCAGCTCCACTCAATTGGGTCCCCTCCCTCGAGCAAACCTAAAAAGCAGTTGGTAGAAACACCGAGGTAGTATAAAAGACCGGCCATGTAATGCGTATAGTGCATCTTCAGTTTCGAGCTCCATTTGGTCAACGTGTAGCTCTCGATCATTCTTCTTGTAGCCTGGAGTGTCAAAAGTGCCCAGATCACTGTGTACTTGGAGACAGTTGGGTTTTGCAGCCAGATGTATGCACCTTGCGACCACTGAAGAATCAGATAAAACACGTAGTAATGTGCAAACCAGGATTTTGGTACTTGAAGAGTCAGCACCTTTTCGACGAATTTGGCCAATGGAGTATCAGGAGTAACCTGCTTCTGCTGTGCCGTTTTGCCGTATTTGAGTAGGAGGCGAAACTGCGGGAATATCTGCATCAACACTATGGCAATCGAGACAGCGACAAATGTCGCCGAGACAAGAAGTCGTGGATCGTAGCCGAGAGTGAATGGCTTCAAGTCGTCAAGAATCATAGCTTCAAAGTGTGATGTACGGTGGGGTGAATATCTGGATGCGCGTGTGGTAGCTTTACTAGGAGGGCTCTCTACACAGGTAGCAGTGAAAGCACAGCACTGAAGTCGATTGGCTCAGCAAGTTCTCTTTAGAATAGAGTATTTTGCTTTCTCTGCCGTTAGTTGATATTAGATTTCGAGTTCAAAATAACATTTTTATGTGTTTTCGACTCGCATTCGGGCTCAGTTTTGCACTGCCTCTGTTGGATTAATAGAAATAGAAGAGTTGGTATGAGAAATATTCGGACATCGAAATATAGCTTAGGTTTACGGCATTTTCGTATTTGCAGATCAAGCTCAATGTTCTGATCACTGTTCGTTGCAAGTGAAGTAACATCAGAATCTATGCGCTATGACCACTTCCCTGGACCGCATCACTATCCCATCACCGATGGTCCGAATCAACGTTTGTTGCTCTTTCCACTCAACTATCAGAAATGATTATCGGAGTTCTGGTGGGAATGGGTGCTTGTTCTTCCATATGGATGTTTACTTACACAACATAATGGCTGCGAAAATCTTCTCATTAAAGTGTGGTAGCTATGTCGCTTAGACGATGTGCTGCTGCTGACTGAACTTTGTTTCAGCGTTGCTACTTAAACGGATTACTTTGGATAATATTGTGGTCGACTTCTCGCTCGACACGAGCCACCACAATCGATTGCATGCACCCAAGTGCTTACTCTAGCGCTCGATTGACAGCTTAAACAATTACACAATGCTCTTGCAAAAACGCCCATAATTCCTACATGTCGATCGAAGCAACGCTACAAAAGCCTCCTGACACAGTTCGAAAAACCAATTCCCTAATAAATCCCCGTCCCACTCCACTGCCTACTAAATCCACTCTCCATAAATTCCAAAAATAAAGATTACACCGCCTCTATGTCCGGTGCTAAAGTTAGTCCCTCTGCTAGTACTCCTATCGCACTGCATACAAAGCGCTCTCAGCACCGAGTGTGCATTCGGAAGCGGCTGTAAACGGCGCTAGGCGGACAGATATCCTAACGCTAGCACTAGCGAACATTCTCTCAAGTGAGAGATAGTTTACCTTTTTGAAGATGGATCACGAACTAGCCGATCTAGGCTCCGATGGCGAGGACACAGCCGCTTTTTTATCCAAATCGCCTCATGCCGATCCCACTACTGATAAGACTCTGCAAGATCATCGCAAGTTCACTGGGTTCCCAGAAACCGACAACGACCCATTTGAAGAGTCATTTGAGCTTTCTGGAGATAACCTGCGTTCCGTGAGTCCCCCAACGGACTTTGAAATATCAGATGCAGACGACTTAGATGAGGAATGGCTCTCCTATATCGGTAGCCTTCCTATATGGGCAGCTCCACTAGGTCGGATCGCTTGTGTGTTGTTCTTTGTTGGAATCGCCATGACCATATCGGCGCCTTCAATGGAGGTGATTTACTACAAGCTAGCCTGCCAGGCTCTCATCAAAGATGGAGATGCTTCAGAGGAAAAGCAGTGTGATTCTGTCCATACCCAGGAAATCGTATCCACCTACCTCATGTGGAGCCATGTGATCAGCTCAATCGTCTCTTTGGCTACAGGGGCGTACATAAGTACCCTCTCCGATACGTACGGAAGAAAACCGTTCCTTGCATTTTTCGTCATTATGCTGTGCATCAGCTCATACGCCAATTACTTCCTCGTCACCACCACAGATGGGTTCCCCATGGTTTTTATGTGGATTGTGACCGCCATAACGTCCTGTTCCGGTGGTGTGGTGGCGTTGCTGGCACTTTTCAGAGCGTACATCACCGATGTTACTCGTCCTACTAACCGAGTCATCGGAATGAGTTGCACGCTTGTTGCATTATCCTTGGGCCAAATCGTCGGGCCTCTGTTATCGTCCTATGCATTATCCAGAGCTGACGAAACCAGTGGCTCAGCTGACACAAACTCAGAGTCGACTAGCCTCATTCCCTCCAGAGAACTCATACCCCTCAAGCTCTCTTTGGTGGTGCTCACGTTGGCTCTGGTATTTTCCATTTTCTTTTTGCCTGAGCTGAGATCTCGCAAATCGATGATGAAGTCAAGGTCAATGACCGATGCTTTACAGATCAACAAACCCAAGGTGGCTTCAATCAAATCCAGGGTATTGGAAGTGGTCAAGACTTACTTCAGACCCCTTAGAATGCTTACGTTTCCCCCTGAGCTCAAAACGGTGGACAATGCTGATAGATTTTCTCAGATAAGAAAGTGTATCATCTGCCTTTCGTTGGGGGAGATTTTGATGTCGGTGTTCATGATGCTGACAATGCTCATTGAACTACAATATTGCATTTTCAAGTACAAGTGGGATTCCATCACCATCTCCAACTACCAGGTCGCTAAATCTGTGGTGAACATTGCAGGTGTGGGAGCGTTGTTGCCACTTCTTTACAAGTTTGCCCTTCCCAAGATCAAGCGCCTCACACCAAAGGCAGATACCTTTGATTCTTTGGACTTTCTGTTGATGTATGCGTGCTTGATCGCCATGTCTTTTGCCCAGCTAGGCGTTGCATTCTCCCCAAGTGGTACCTCATTTGTGGTGTTCTCGATCATCAGCACCTTGGGCGCCATCTCTGGTCCCGTTGCAGCATCCGTTCCTTCAAAATTTTTCCCTTCAGCCAAAGTAGGTGAATTTTATGGTGCAGTTTCATTGGCCCTGGGAATCTTCAATCTTCTTACACCTATGGTTGGAACAGCGTTATATAAGAGCGGCATTAGGCATGGGTTTCCAGGAATGCCATTTGTCTTCGCTGCTTTACTTGCATTTATGGCTTCAAAATGCTCTCTAATAGCTAGGTGGGCTGTCAGAGACTATCAGGGCAAAGTCACATTGGTTTGATACTAACGGACATAGAGAATTATAGACAAGTAACTACAGCGTACCAAGATTCATATGCAACGTCTCTATTATACAAACTCTATCATCATGCCTCATCAATTACCTTCCCAAATACTTGATCTCAAGTGGTCTCATCAAGTTGAACCCAACAAATGCGAAACTAGCTCCCAATTCGAAACCAATGTCACCTCCTCTCTCACCTATCTGTGTTGCAATCACACCGCTGTACCATTGTTGGTTCATACCGAGAACAACACCGGCGACACCGCAGCAGAAGCCGAAGATAGCGGCAATTCCAACAGGGTATGCACGTTTGTCCATGTAGTTCTCATAGTCGTAGGCAGACCAACGACCTCTGTTCCATATAAGATGCTGAGAAAGACACATGGACTCGTAAATGGCCAAGTAGTAACCAATCAAGTTCATGAAGTTCTCCATGACAGACTCGAAGTGGTAGTAAGCGGGGATGCAAATAGCCAAGGTGACGAAGTTACCGCAAATTGTCCACAAGACACGAGGCACCTTCTTCAAGTATGAAGAGAAAGCCTGAGCACTCATGGCGATGGAGTACATGTTTGGAATGTTGTTGGCAACAGTGGAAAGAGCCAAAAGCACACACAAGAATTGACCAAAGCCGTGGAGGGAGTCCTGGACAAGAATTGAGTAAACAAGACCACCAACAGCCTTCTCTTGGTAAAGCTGCTGCCAGTTGTCATCGGTCAAAGTACCAGTGGCACAAGCAGCACCCAAAATCAAGGTAAAGATCAATGGGAATAGAAGACCGCCCAAAACACCGAAGAAAATACGGAATGAGTTGGCGTTACGAGGCTGGTAGACAGTGTAGTCGGAGGCGTAAGTGGTCCAACCAGTAGCGTAACCGAAAACGGTACCACCGAAGGACAAGACATTACCAGCGGTGGTCTGGCCGCCCTTGGTTTCGCCCCAAGTGAAAGTACCAGCCATAGACATACGGCAGATGATGGCAATGAAAATAGCCATGTTTGGAATCCACGACCATCTCTCGTACATGTGGATGACGTGGTAGCCAAAGAAAGTGACGAAGATGGTGCAAACGACCAAAATCAAACAACCGGCCCATGGTGGGAGGGCGCCGTTGTTGACGATGTTAAGCAACTGAGCAGAGGCCATGATGTTCACAGCACCCCAACCCACGCAAGCAATCATGTTGATAAATGCAAAAATTCTCATACCGTAGTTTCCTAGGAGGTATTTGGAGACGATCATCTGACGAAGACCCAAACGGCAACCGAAAATGGAGAAAAAGGCCACTGTACTTGCTCCCAAGAGGGAGAAGAAGATGATCACCATGATACACTGGAAAAACGAAAGACCAAACACAGTGACACCAAGAGCACCCAAGGAGAAGGTGGCAATGACCAAGTTGGCAGACAACCACATGGAAGCAGCGTTCCAAATGGAACTGTCTGTCTTTTCATCGTCAAGCACCAAGTCCACACCCTTGGTCTCGGCATTGAGCTTAGCGGCCCATCTGTCGAAGATATTGACAGAAGTTTCAGAGGTCTCGGCGTGGCCGGACTCCTCCAAGGACTTTTCAAATGAATTGGCAGAGACCTTCTTCTCTATGGAATCGCCTAATGATTTTTCCTGGTCCGACATTATGAGCGATGAGGCGAAAAATGTAGATACAAAGAAAGGTGCTTTGTGACCTGGGAGTCTCAGATGACTTTTATGGCAATGGGTGAAAAGTGACTCAAAAGTCTGTGCTGCTCGGCTGTTTTATAAGCACGGAATGCTGCTATTGCAAAAGTTTTATGGTCTTGATAAGAAACCGCGTAGAGGGCAATTTCTTTTTTTTCTTTGCCTAATTGCATCGATCTCATTGCCTGAGCCGACGCAGGTACTGCAGACGACATCGCGCTGAGCGACACTAACTATGGGAGATGCATCCGGTCGTCTCTTATATGCACAGGGCCTTACCTAACGAATCCGCCCTATTCCAATTCGAGCGCTCTTATCTCAGCTTATCTGAGCAAGCAAGATAGCAGCCCTTTTTATATAAAAGTTCCCCACAGTTTTCGGAGATCACCGTGGTAGATCTTGCTTTTTGTGAAACCATATAAATAAAGCCGCGGTGGCGCCGAGGGTTTCCGCGGAGCCTCTCCGGTCGGTAATTTTCGTCGGCGTCTAGTACTGTATTCCAGCCACGGCGTTTGAGAAGTTGGATAAAGCTAAAGATAACGAACTGAGCCCTGGAATTCGGGTTTGGGGCGATGAATTGTGGACGGTGGTTGGAAAAAATTACAGAATGGTTTGCCGGATCTTCAGAAATAGCTTTCTTTTGTTTTATTCATTTCTCTTACTGTTGTTGTTCACCGACCTTGTTCCACTCGGTATGCATGCTCGAGCGGCGTAACGGTTTTTTCATGACCTCTGCTAAGTTAGAGTCAACCTAATTGCAGCTTTAAATTGCTTGACTCCTGGTTGACGTTGCGTGAGGCTGACGGGCCGTTATTAGAGAATTTTTCAAATAGGGTTTGTTGAGTAGATCTGGACGATCGCTAGAGTTTATTTAAACGAGCTCTCTTTACTTTACAACCAATGAGAGTTTCCTAGAAGCTAAAACCAGCCCTCTGACTTGTAACCCCTTAATACATTGGCCGATGATTTTAGTCAGTCTGCTTCTACGGTGCCAAGTTCAATGCACAAGTCTTGTTCCGCCTCAGCGAAGACGTCAAGTTTACTTAGGTGGTTGGACGTAGCGTCGTATACAAGTCGGCACCATCCTTGTCACAGATCTTCAATACTTTTGCCAAAATAGGAATTCCATTCAATTGATTGGTAGTTTGGGCCAGTCCCTATTCTTGAAGTGCACGCTCGAGGCTACACTTGATCTGCGCCCACGATTAGTAGAATCACATTAGGAAATTTAACTTTGCACATATGTATTACAACACGCCCAGTCGACTTGCTGATGCACGCGAGGTCGTGGCCCTGGCTTTTATACTCTAAGATGCTCCACCGGTGGATTAGTGCCAGGGTGACCTGAAGCAGCCGTCTGGTCTCATTACTTGGTACCAAAGTGGATACCCAACACCAATGCCAAAACAATCACCACAATAAGAAGAATGATGAAACACCACCACTTCTTCTTTCTCATGGCCTTGGCCGAAAACACCGCCTTCTGCGTGTGACCCACACCCTGCTCAATGTCGTGCTGGGCCGTCTCAACCTGCTCCTCAATCTGCTGGATTGGCTGGTCCTGCTCAATGACAAGCTCCTCCATGTCATGGAAAAGCTGAGTCAATTCAGCCATCGTCTTTTCCAACTTGAGCAACTCACGGTGACGAACTTGCACCTCGTTGAGCACGGTTCTGGCCTCACCTCTACGGTTCGACTGCATCAACGCCTGCTGGAAAATCTGCTGGTTGGGCGTGCCGTCCTCCACGGCAGCCTCCACCTCCTCTGCGGTAGCGTTGGGGTTAATGATCTGGTACTGTCTGGCCAGCTGAGCCTTGGTCTGCTCTCTGTTGTTGGATTCAGTCAAACGGTATCTCTGGATGTACTCCAAGAACTTGTTTCTGGCGGCCTCGGCCTGGTCGATCTTCTGAGGGTTTCTCAGCTGAGCCGCCTGGGTCTGGACATTCTTGATTCTCAGCTTCAACTCAGACTGCAAACTCAGCGCTTCCAGAACCAACGCGTCAATCTGCTTCGACGAATATTCCGTGTCTTCGTCGTTCAAGTCCAACTCCTGGATGTAGTTTCTTTGCTTGTTCGAGATCAAGTCCACCAAGTTGGAGTAGTTGTCTAGCTGGGTGTGGATATCTTGAATCTCATTCATGAAGGCCACGAAGTCGTCTTCTCCGGCAGACCCGCCGTTGCTGTACTTCATGCTGGTCATTTCGTACAGACTGGCGTTGTGGCCGCCGCCATTGTAGTACGGGTTGCTCATGGTATAAGGTTGGGTTTCTTGGAGGGGTGGTGCTGAAACGGCCTTATGTATGCTTCCTTTTTTTTTTTTTTTGGTTGCCTGCCAGCTATGGCTATGTTGTGTTCCTGCATGCACTTCGCGTATAACTGGCGCATTTTGGCGTCAAATCTTCACTTCCCAGGGGGATACCAGTGTATGCAAAGCCTGTTTTTATTTCGTGAACGGCATATGTTTATGAAACTGCTCTTCGTGATTTTTCTTCAATTCTTTCAATTTGGAGCTCTGGAGAGTTCCACGTGATGTCGAACCATTCATCGTAGCATGTGCCGAAATTCACTAATGCAGGGCCGGCGGCCGGCTACGAAAAGTGACTGACTCAGCCATCGCCGGAAAATTTTGTTGTACTAATCGGCCAAAATGGTGTTTCGACCGTATTGAGCTTGCAAAACGTGATAATTCTCAAAACGGTGCGTTTTCAAGAATCTTGTCTAAATCTGTCCATGGGGCTTTCTCGGCACCGCCTTGACGTGACGTGAGCCGTTTCACAGCCTTACTTCGAGGCAGTAAAGGCGTAAATGACCACGGCGGCGTATTTCGTATAATATGAGGCAGAACGGTGGATACGCCAAATTTTGGTCAATTTGCAGCCGTTCCAGGCAGAATACATGACCATGAGGCTGAAGCGCAGAAACTGCAAGTGGGCCGATGAGTCGGTCGATGAAGTGGGATAATGGGATTTTAGGTATTGACAGAATGTAGGGGAGAGAACGAATGTAAAGCTGACTAGAAGCTGACTAAAAAAAGAGAAAATTGCCGTATTGACCTGGAATTGGTTGTGTTGTGTGTTCACGGTGGACAGAGGTATGCAGATAGTTCGAAGTTCCCTTTGTTCGTGTGATTGTTGGATTGAACGTACGTCTGATTTTCGTAAGTCATCACCGTCGTAGTAAATATGTGAAGGAATGTGGAGGTAAGGAATTGAGTAGTCAATGACTTGGATGGCCAACTGATTTGTCATATTTGGGGCTCGCTATTCATCTATTATCCATTGTCCAGCTTCAATGGGACCAAGTTGTCTGAAGATTCCAGATCGACAGCTTTCACTCTTTCAACTTCAATGGTAATCGATTCTCGTTATTGTTCCACAATTCACCGCTAGGACTGTTTTTGATCGATGTGGTTGATGCCTACTGTAATGGCTGCAAAAGCCGATGTCTACCTCCATTCTCACATCCACCAAGGAACCTCTCCTTTTTTTTTATTCTATCGTTGCAGTTAAAGAAAACTCCATCTATTTAAAGCATTTCTCGCCATCATCAAAATCCCTCCATAACCTACGCCTCACCTCCCCAATCCACCTCTATTCTTATCGGTGCGCACATCGCAGATCTGCTACACATTCCATCCTAGATCCACCTTCCACAATTGAACCAACAACCTACTATGGAATCACATGATTTCGTGCCCCTGAAACACCAGGCGGCCGGCCACGACGGCTGCATGACTGCAGGGGCAGTATTTGCCAAACTCACAACTCAACAGGAGATCGACTTTTATGAACAGACTCATAGCTCAAACGAGATCCTAGATCAGGGCGCCCATTTGAGCCACTGGATGCCCACGTACATGGGAACCTTGAACGAAGGTGTCATGAAACCCGAGAATTCTGACGTTACGACGATGGTGGCGGACGATGTAAAGACGATAGAGGAAGTGGAGAAGAAAACACCAAAGAGCGATAAAAAGTACGTCGTGTTGCTGAACTTGTACCATGGATTCTCACAGCCTTCAATTCTCGACATCAAGCTTGGAAAGGTTTTGGTGGACGATACGGTCACGGAGGAGAAAAGAGAACGATTGGCTGCTGTGAGTGCATCGACTACTAGTGGATCTTTACACTTTCGGATCTGCGGCATGAAGCTTTTCAAAAGCAGTGACAAACCGCTTCCTGAAGTGTATCCAAAAATGAACGAAACAATCGCTGTCCAAGACGACAGTATACATTTCAACAAGTTCTATGGGCGCTCGCTAGATACATCCAACATCGAAAAGGGCATTGCCCAGTTTTTTGCATTCGTGGAGAACCCCACGCAGAAAAAATGGCTTCTCACACGCTTCCACCAGCGTCTCCAGCTCCTATATAATTGTCTTTTGGACTCAGAGGTTCGAATCATCTCAGGCTCGCTCTTTTTCTTGTTTGAGAACGATCCAAAGCGTTGGAAGGAAGCTCTACAGGACGAAGAAACATACTATGCATTAGATCCTCTAATCCAGGAATTAGACGATGAAGATAGCGATACCGAATCGACGGACATTGGTATCCCCCTTAGCAGCCTACATGTGATTGACTTTGCTCACGCTAAACATACACCTGGTAAAGGTCCAGATGAAAACATTATTGTGGGGGTTGAAAACCTTATCGACATCTTCGGTCGCCTTCTAGAAGCTTGTAAATAATCTTATTACCTAGTTTACAAACATCACCTATCCCTTATTTACAACAACTTGGTGATCTTACCAATAGCGATAGTCACACCCTGGTCTCTCAAGGTGAATCTACCCAACTGCTGGTAGTCGTTGTAGGTCTCAGCGCACACAGGCTCTGGCGTCTCCAAGACAGCAATGATCTTCATACCCTTCTTGGCGAATGGTGGGGCCTTCTTGGACTTTCTATTCGTACCCTTCTCCAACTTATGCTTCAACTCGAGGAATGTAACCTCCTCGACGGCAGTATGCAAGTGCATGACACAAGAGAAACCGTTAGACAAGATCGACTTCAATTCGACAATGGCGATCTGGGCTTCGAACTTGGTGACGGTTCTCACAGGGTTCTTTGGAGAGGTCAACACGTAACCAGGAGCAACGTCTTCTTCCTCGACACCCTTGATCTTCATACGGATCTGCTCACCGCAGAGAGCGGTGTCGACTTCTTGCTCAGTCTCGTTGTAGATGTTGGAAACTTCAACGCTTGTTCTGTTAGGCATCATCAACAAACTGGAGTTCTTCTTGACGTGACCAGACTCAACCTTACCTTCGACAACACAACCCATGTCTTTCATCTTGGCAGCAATTGGCAACATGAAAGGAGCGTTGATGAAACGGTTCGCCGTCTTCATGTTGTCCAAGAACTCAAGAAGAGATGGGCCCTCGTACCATGGACAGTCCTTTGGATCAACTCTGTCCTTGAGACCAGCACCAGTGTAACCGGAAACTGGCATGAAGAGGATGTCATCCTTTTGGTAGCCAATACCCTTCAAAAACTGGGCCACCTTCGTGGTACAGTCCTTGTATCTGTCTTCGGACCAGCCAACAGTAGCGTCGTCCATCTTGTTTACAACGACAACGATCTTGTTGACACCCTGGGTCTTGGCCAAAAGAGCGTGCTCTCTAGTCTGACCACCCTTTTCGAAACCGGTCTCGTACTCACCCTTTCTGGCAGAAATAACAAGAATACCGACATCGGCCTGGGAGGCACCACCAATCATCTCGGAAACGTACATCTTGTGACCTGGGGCATCCAAGATAGTGTATCTTCTCTTGTCGGTCTCGAAGTATGCCTTACCGACCTCAATGGTCTTACCGTCGGATCTCTCCTCCTTGTTGGTATCCATGACCCACGAGAGGTACCAGCCCTGTCTACCGGCATCCTTAGCCTCTCTCTCGTACTTGTCGACGGTTCTCTTGTCGACAGCACCAGTCAAGAAAAGAATGTTACCACCCATGGTACTCTTACCGGCATCAACGTGGCCCATGAAAATAATCGAAAGATGGTCCTTACCACCGAACATGTCCTTGATGACCTCCTCGTCGACCTCGTCCTCCTGCTGTCTCACAACGGCCTCGGCGGAAGGAGTAGGAGTAGACTCCTTGGTGGCAGCTGGAGTAGCAGCCTTGGATGCGGCCTTAGAGGCAACTGTGGAAGAAGAGGCAGACTTGGCTGGAGCTGGGGTTGGAGCCGGCGTGCTCTCCTTCTTTTCCTCCTTGGCCTCGGGCTTCTTCTCCTCCTTCTTTTCTTCCTTTGGCTCTTCCTTCTTCTCCTCCTTCTTTTCGTCCTTCTTCTCGACAGCAGCTGCCTTGGTGTTGTTCACCAACTTCACAGATGAGCTGGTAGCCAATTTCAAGGTTCTCTTAGGCTTGGCAGCTGGAGCGGCAGAAGCCTGCTGCTGTTTTTGGAAATCAGCCAATGACATGCCCTGAGGCTGCTGCTGCTGTTGTTGTTGTTGGTAGTCACCGTATCCCTGGTACTGGTTGTAGCCTCCATTGTAGCCACCATATCCCTGGTTGTAGTTGTTTTGGTATTGGTTGTAACCCTGGTTGTAGTTGTTGTAGCCACCTCTTCCAGAACTGTAGCCTCCACGGCCGCTGTTACCGTAGTTCTGGTATTGGTTGTAGCCCTGGTTGTACTGGTTGTAACCGCCTTGTCCCTGCTGGTACTGGCTGTAGCCACCCTGAGGCACAAATGTCTGGGAGTTAGGGTTGTAACCCTGCTGGTTCTCGTCCAAGCTCTGCTTGCTGAAGTCCTGGTTCAAGTTGTCCTGGTTGTACTGGTCCGACATTGAAAGCTTTAGCGATGAAGCTGGACAATTTTTTTGATTTTTTATGCCTTGCGCAGGCACGTGAGCTCCGGTGGAGATTTACGAAGACAGATCCACTTTCGATTTGAAGGTAATTATTTCAGGGGTTTCGATTGCTTTTACGTTTTTGTTGGGGTTTTTTTGTCTACCATGTATTCAATTGCCCTGTTTGAGGGGTTGGTGAAGAGGATCTGACTTACTGTGAGAAAACCGTGCATTCGGACACCGAAAGATAGTGATCCCCGGCATTTGGCGAAAATGTTAGTATATTTATCAATTAGATGTTTAAGTTAAGAATTGGGCTATTACAATTCACTGAATTCACGTTCAATTGAGTAGTGTCTTTTGTTTTTAAAGCCGTGCGTTACCTCTGCTCAATTGTAGACTGTTTCAACATGACAGTGCTGTTTACATTAAAAGTGTCAATTACAAGTTATTTCGGCTCCTCAGCAAATTTTGACTCCTGCCTTTCCATGGATAAAAAATATTAGCTTCTTACCGAAAGCTTTCTCAAGGATCAACGTACTCCGAGCCCATTGTTGATGGCTGCGAAAACTGAAGTTCATGGGGAATCGCCGCTCACGCCCTCAATATGACAAATAGACCTTATCAACTGGGCAACTGAATATTTTCGAAGTGCAAATGGTCTACCGTACTGAATTTTGGACGAAACTCGTCGATATTCCAAATGTGATCACGTGACTAGGTTCCTTTGAACCCAACAAGCCACCCCCACGTCACGTAAAACCGAAAACTTCGATCAGTAAAAGAACAATGTTTCCATTGCCCTTGTATTCCGCTAAAAATTATTCCCCCTTCTTTAATCCCACGGGTGCTTTCGTCGAAATTAGAAATTTACATGCACTCCTCAGCCTCACACTCACCCCTCTGATCCCCAGATAACGAAACTGCCCCACCACAGTCTCAAGTCCTTAGGACAACTCAACAACATGCCCATCTTTGGAGAAAAACCACACACCTCAATTACGGTGAAAGTGAACCAACTCTCGAAACCAAATAGGAATGAAGATGACTCAATTGAGCTCTACTTGTCTGACTTGATTCTGCTCATAAAGCTTCAGCCAGGTCCTGGTCCTTCGGAAGCTGCAAGGGCAATTCGTAAGAATATCAAGTACGGTACAACGGTGCAAACTCAATTGAATGCTTTGCAAATTCTTGAGCTTCTTGTGCTCAATTCAGGTCCGAAAATCGGCCCTGTTTTGGCCTCAGATGATAAGTTGCTTGATGTCTTGAAGGGCATTATCACTGGATCAGGTTCCACGGGTACTGGATCAAAGTACGACAAGGCTGTTCAGAGCAAAGCAAGAAGCCTTGCAATTGGTTGGAAGCTGGAGCTTGAAGGCTTGGATGGCTACAAGTATATGGCGAATTTGTGGAAACTGGCTGGAGGCAAAAGAAGGGCCCTGGGAAGTCACCAACGTGGCCATAGGAGAACTACTAGTGCTTTTGGCGACGAGAATGCTTTGGACGAACCAGACCTCTTGGATAGGGACGATGAACTTCCCACCAGATCTCCAAGATCTCCAAGGACAACTCGCTCTCCACCCCCGCCTAGACCTGCCAAAAAATCACCTCCCCCACGTCCTGTGCTGGCCTCGCCTTACTCGGCAGGAAGACCAGTCGAGGATAAACCCAAGAAGAAGAAGGACAAGTCTAAGAAGAAGAAAAAGAGATCCAGAAACGGCATTGTGTATGCTGACGAGCAATTCAGAATCCCCCAGATCAACTATAAAGTTGAGGCTCCAAAAATCAGAAACATCCTCTCGGAGTGCCAAACCCACACCAGTGCGTTGAACAATGCTCTTCTCACAATACCACCTGGCACAGATCCTTTGGACGATGAAAAGGCTGGAAAAGAGTTTGAGAAATGTAGGAAGATCAGAAGAAAGGTTCTTCAATACTTGCAGTTTGTGGGTGCAGGCGACGAGTCATCCAAATCCAGGGAGACTATTCAAATGGAAGAGGAGTTTTTGGGCTCCTTGATCATGGCAAACGAGCAGCTCGTCGGCACATTCACTCAATTCGACAAGGCCTCTGGCTACACTCCCGAAAACCCGGGTCCCCACCATTACGATGCAGCTAGTGACAGTGATTCCGACGAGAGCTACTACTCGAGTGACTCTGAGGAAGAGGAGGAGCCTGTGGAGGATTCTATAGAGCTGAGGCTCGAATCGGCTCGTATTCTGGAGGGAACTTCCTCGAAGCTACAGGAGGCAGTCAGAAACTCACCCCCAGTGCCACAGAAGCCAACCAAGGAGGCACCGGCACAGCCTTCAAAAGACCTGACTATCCCAGAACATCCAAAACTCAAGCGGGTTGCTACGGATGCCACAGGAGTCTCTGTGGGTAGTGAGGACCCCTTTGGTGACAAGCATGAGGTTTCCAGTACATACTAGGTGCCGAGGATGCACCACCTTGTAATATGATCGCCTAATGCATTTGCGATTGGCAAAGCTAACTCACAGCTAACAATGCCCAAATATCGTAGGTAGACCGTAAAAACCATTCCCTATCGACAATAGACGCACATTTCGATAACCGCACTTTTTCCCTTGTATAGGCCTATTCGCATCTACCTGGGGTATGCAAATCTTAAAGATCAACACATTCTCAAAGCTCATAAGACCCTTACAGAATTTTGCTCCATACAACTTGTTCTTCACAATATGCCCAATGACTTCCGGCCCCGATTTCACAATCCCGTGCCACTCCCCCCGGTAGACGATTTCCGTCTATCCACTATCCTTCTGAAGCATGTAAATGAGGAGAACGAGGCTGTCAAGAAGGCACTTTTAAATGTCACCGAACGCCATCAGAATGATCTCAAGCAAGAGATCAGGCGCCTGTTGACGGTTGAGCAGAAAATCCAATACCTTAATATAGATGTCGCCAAAAGAGCACATCTACTACGAAGAAAGGTCGCAAGCAGAAAGAGGAGGCTAGAAAAAGCCATCGAGGGTTTGAAAAACGACAAGGACGGATCGCTATATGCTGATATAAGGGAACTTATGACTCTGGCAGTGCTGGTAAGTGCTCAAGTTCAGGGCTTAGCGAATCTGGCTCTAGAATACGAGCGGTCGAAAAATGGCCCACTTTCGGGACCTGATCCTCACAAATACCCACGACTAGCATCATTTTTCGGCACAGGCACCGAATCGGTCGATGTGGACTCGACAGAGAGCGAGGTGGTGGATGGGTACATCGACAACAGAGATCACCAGCTACACCACAGGGACAGTCATGAGTCCCATTTTGACGATAACTTCGACAGTGTGTCCAACGGATTCCAGACGGCATTCAGTGAGCCTGCATTCCCGAAAAATGCCACAGGGGAAGGCTCGAACTCGGGCGATCTTAGTCCTGATGATAACGAGCTAGGTGCTTCCTCCTCCGAGGAAGAGCAAAGTGCCCCACCGTCGCCTAAAACAACCGAGGCTAAGCTTGTCAAAGAGCCCAGTCCTGAAGAAGTGACTGCCGAAATGTTCGAACAGATCATGGATTTGAACATTTCAAAGTATAGGCTGCAACGACAACGCAAATACGACGAGCTTGATCTATTCGGGCCTCAAGTCACCCTGGCACAGCCATCTACGGCAACCAAAAATAAGTCCAATCCTTTACGATTGCTTTATTCCTCACTGGCTTTGGCCAATAGCGACATGCTCAAAGCACGCACTGTGGAAGCGGAATCGCTCAAGTCACCTTTCGTCAATTCCAAATCTGTGGCTACAGTGCTGCCAACCCCGCAAACCTCTCTTCATAAAAAGTTGAGGATCAGAGTGCAGCCATTGAGGTATAATAAGAAGAACGACAATTGTTCTTGTCAGGAGTCTGAGAGAGAAGGAGAAGCCAGTATCGATTCATCGCCAGCAAAGGAGGCACTCACAAAAACGCTTAATAATTTTCTGGATTCAGCAATTGCGGAAGATCAAGATAATGAGTTGGACGACGATGTATGGAATTCCTCCGCGTATCAGACAGACACTGATGAGGAAGCGACGAGCAGCTCAGACGATACAGAGAGCCAAGATGCATCAGTGGATAATCCCCTCGATATTTCTGCCGAAGATTATCAGTCGTTTCGAAAGGACTTGGCCAAAGCACGTAAGAAGAAGAGCCAAAGAAGCGTTATCGAAAGTCCCATAAGAGAGTTCTCGCCCACACCGAAGCATCAGCCTTCTCATCGAACGCTCAAACCCAAGGGTTCTATTCTCAAAATATCCAATGGCACAAGGCGCAAGAACAAGGCTACGTCGTTTCTGCGCAGTCAATCTAGGAACTGCATCACCCTGGTCAACGGGCTGCCTTTGAAAGCCAGCTCTCCGCTTCCCGAGAGTGCAACTCACACTCCTTACAGAGCGAGTCCACGAGCATCCTTTGTTAATGAGGTATCTGCCTTGGGTATGATACTCGGAAGCGAGCCGCCCAGAGCAGAGGAGTCTGACGAAAACAGGGACAATAGCATCGAAGATGAGGAGTCTCTCGACAACGAAAGCGCCAAGTCTGACAACAGAGACGGCGGCGACTACAAAAGTATTGATCGGTTACGGAGTTTATTAGTTTAATGCAAATGGGAGGCCACGGTGAAGGCCAGTGACCGGATGATTTAATGCTATGCTAAAAGAGCCAGACGTAGAAGCACCAGACGAAAAAGATGGCGAAAAACGCAAGCCACATCTTCCACGAGATTCCAGCTCGTTGGCTCATGACCACCATTTTGTTGTAAGTGTTCTTCAAGGTGACTTTACCCTTTTCAAAGTTGTTCGTGATTTCGTCGTTAAGTTTCATAGACGTGTTGATCTGGCCGCCCATCTTGACGCCGAGATTCTTGAGTGCTGCGACTTTTTGGGACATGGAGTCAACTTCATCCTCGTTTTGGCTCTCGAGCGACAGCAAGAAAGACTCGTTGTGTTTGGCAGACATTGACTCTGGTTTGTCGTAAGGCGAGCTGATTCTCTGAGGCGTTTGCAGCCTCAGCCTGCCAGGAGTCGGCGTGTCAAAAAGTTGGTTTCTTAGTTCACGCAGGTGTGCTGCGGTGGAATAGCGGGAGCTCATATGTGTTGTTCTTTCCAACTATCGTCGGTAAAAGAGTTGATGGTAACTGTAACGTCGCGACCTGTGTGCAGCGGGGTATTTGCTGTAAGTTTCTGTGGAGCCGAGTGAGTTGAAAGAAGTATTCAAGGATTTTTGTAGTAAGAGGTCTCTGATTGTCTTTTTTTTGGAAGTGCTAGAGGCTTTTGTCTGTTGGAAGTTGTATTGTGGTTTTGTCGAGGTGTTTAAAGCCTTGCATAGGTGAAACAAGGCTTGTGATGTACCATGAAGCACTGGGGACTCCGTTAATTTTCGTTTTTCTGATGAAAAACTGAATTTACTAATCGCTGAAAAGTGTGGGTTTTGCGTGAAATGCTGTTCTTTTCTTTGGTCACCGTGTTTTCTTTTTCTTCAGGACCTCGAGAAATGGTTGCAAAATGCGGGTGTAGGCTAAATGTGGGGCAAGGTCAGGAACAGCAGCTATTCGAGAAATTAGAAAAAGCATCTATGGCTGCCTTTTACTTCTAATTGTTAAACTTATGGGCAAAGAATTGAATTCAGCAAGACTTAAAAATGGGTATGTATGACAAACCAGTACAAAGTATAGTGATGATATCACCCAGTCGATTCGCCACTCCGTCACTCAAACGGCAAATTCTTTATACTCCACTACTATTGAGTGCCTTTTAATGAATTTCTTATAATTTGAAGGCACTAATGTTAGTGTGGGCGATTCTCAATACTCGTACAATGGCTTTGACGTTTTCGCAGCCGTCTCGGAGAAGGCTTCGCTTCAGTAGATCCATGAAATTTTGACCTTATATCCAAATTATCCCTCCTAGCTTCTATAAACTATTCATGCCCAGCAAAATCATATTCCTTACAAATTTCACACCATCACCCTTCTCTCATGCCACCCGTCGTCATCTCTTATCAGACCCGCGCTTACAAAGCATCTCACGATACCACCTTCTTCATGGAATCCCAAGAGCCGCCCAAGTCCTTGGCCTCGGTCAAGCACATCATGCTCATTCTTTCTGGTAAAGGAGGGGTGGGCAAATCTTCTGTCACCACTCAGATTGCCCTAGCCTTGGCCCTCAAGGGTAAGAACGTTGGTGTTCTCGATATCGATCTCACAGGACCTTCCCTTCCACGAATGTTTGGCGTGGAAAAAAGACAGGTCCATCAGTCCCGTTCAGGCTGGGTTCCTGTACTGGTGAATCCCAAAACCCAAGAAACGGGATCTCTCTCGTTGATGTCGCTCGGTTTCCTCCTAAAACAAAGAGGTGATGCTGTGGTATGGAGAGGACCCAAGAAAACAGCCATGATCCGCCAGTTTTTGAAAGACGTGGTCTGGCCAGACTTGGACTACCTCCTTATAGATACGCCACCCGGCACGTCAGACGAGCATATTGCCATTGCAGAGGAACTACGGTGGGCTGTGCCGGTCGATGGAGCTGTGATTGTTACTACACCGCAGCAGGTGGCCACGGCAGACGTGAGAAAAGAGATTAATTTCTGTAAAAAAGTCAACTTTGCCATTATCGGCATTGTCGAGAATATGAGCGGTTTCATCTGCCCCTACTGTGCCGAGTGCACCAACATATTTCTGAGTGGAGGAGGCCAGCAGCTCTGTGAGTCGCTACAGCTAGATTTCTTGGGCTCCGTACCCATAGACCCTACCTTTGTTGAGATGATAGAAAACCAGGACACTACGGAAGCCGAGCGCTCCGACAAGAAGCTCTTGCAGTTGTACAAGGCTGCCAACTTGTTCCCCGTTATGGATGGAATCGTTGACAAGATTTTGGCCAAGAACTTACCTGCAAGAGTTTAACTACAGTTTATAGATGATGCAAATAGGATGATTGTGCTGCCGCCCCGGGGCCGGCACTATAATGTACATTACTCGATACCGTTGGCCTTCTTCCAAACGGCAATCTTCTTCTTCAACTGGCCCTCCGACAAAAACAAAGGATTGAGCTTCTTGTCCCATTTCATCTTGTCGTAGTCATCACCATATTTCTCGTAAAGGTTTTGTAGGATACCTTCCTCCTCCTCTTGAGGCTTGGGTGCTTTGACTTTACCACCATACTTCTCATTGTACTCCACGAGATCGTCAATGACGCTATTCTCGGTTTTCTCCTCCTTCACCGGCGCCGTCTTCATGGTACCGTAGATGACCTGCACCACCTCGTTTGTTTCTGGATCACGGATCAAACGGGCTTCACCTTCTGGAATCTTCAGTGGATCAGTCTCGACTGCCACATCTTCAGGAGCAACATGGTTGATCTTTTCTTTTTCTTTTTGTTCTTCCCGCAGCTCTGTAACTGTCTTGTAAACATTCTCTTGACCACCGTTGTATTTGCCCAATCGAGAGGTGAGCCCTAGCTTCTCATAGTTCTGTTTAAGCGTGAGCTTCTTGTCCCACTTGGCAGCGAGAACTGGATGGTGTGCAATCTTGGGTTTTCTCTGTGAGTCCTTTGTACGTCTCGTGTTCTTGGCCACCGACGAGCGGGCCATCTTTCTCTTTCTGACCGAAACCATGCTGAATTAATAGATAAGAAGCTGAATGGAGATTTCCTGAGCATCTTTTCGATGAGCCTGCGATGCTCTGTGTGGTGCACGGGTGTGCTACCGATAAGGCCCAGTCTACAACAATGGTTTCACGTAAATTTGCATTAGGTCAATGATCTAAGCGATTGATGCTGATTATTCTTCAGTTTTTGGCGTGGTTTCATTAGGCGTGGTTTCAGTGGGTGCGGAGTTCCCTCTGCCGCCACGGCCTCCTCTGAATCCTCCTCTAAATCCTCTACCCCGGCCTCTACCTCTACCTCTTCCTCTGCCTCTTCCTCTAAAAGAGCCTCTGTTAGAGTCAGGGTTTCCTTCTCTAGGAGAATCAGTCCACTCCTGATCTGGTCTGACGACTTCCTTCTTCTTCACCAGAAGTGGCCTATGCCAGAATTCCGCTCTATCAAGCTTCTCGATGGCTTTTTCAACGCTCTCTTCCTTCTCAAACGTGACAAAGCCGTATCCACAGGGCCGTCTCGTCACGGGTTGAATCACGAGCATGACTTTTGTTATAGGTCCAGCGAAGCTAAAGAGATCTTCGACATGGCGGGGCTCGACTCTGTAATTCAAGTTTCCAACGTAGATTGTCCTGGCCGCAAGCTCAGGTCTGTACTCTTTTGGCATCTTGGATTGTTTGTAATCTTTTCCTTCTCCATTGGGTCTCTCATCTTTGACTTCATTCTCCTTGGAGTTGTCGAGATCCAATTTGGATAATTCACCATTGAGGGACTCGTCAGCCTTATCAGTGGACTCCTCGATGACTGGATTTTGTGATTCAGTTGATTCTCCGGAAGGAATCGAACTCGCAGCCGTCAGATCTTCAATGATACTCATCTTGTTAGGAAGAACCGTGTTGGTTAGTTCGTGATTTCCGGTACACAACCTGAAAGTGGAGTTCAAGGTGCGGCTACGAATAGGTCCCAAGAGTATGGTATTCTCCTAAATATCCCTAATTTCTCCGTTTGCTCTTATGCCTCGACAAATGCTCTGTATGTCGTGAATGGCTCGTCGGTAGACGATGACTCCAACTCAACCGCCGTCTCTGGAGCGACAAAGTAGACAAATCCTCTCTCCACCTTCTTGGCCTCACCGCCCTGGATACGGATGGTACCGTTACCGTTGGTAGCAATAACCACAGAAGGACCGTTGAAGCCATCGAATTCCTGTTTCTGGCCAGCCTTCTTGTCGAAAATGGTCTGCAAAACAGCGAACTCGGCAATTGGTGGGTCGTACAAGACCGACTTGACGGCGTCACCTCTGGAACGCTCAAATGGCAACAATGGCATCTTCTGCTTCTCCACGGACTCGTAGGAATACGTCAACATGTCAACCAAGTTCTTGACATCCTTGAACTTGGGGGTGAAACCGGCTCTCACGACGTTGTCACTAGCAGCCATGCACTCGATGATATCGCCCGAAATGTAGGCGTGGGGGTCCTTGGCTTGCAAGAACATGGCCTCGCCGGCATTGAGCCAAACGTGGTTCAACAACAAGCAGCCACAGAACAAGCCAATGTCTTTGGGGAACTGTTTGTTCAATCTGAGGATCAAGTTGGCCAAGTTTGGTGCCAATTGGTCGAAAGTAGCAGGTTGCGTCTCTGCTTTCTCAACCAACTTGGTGGCCTTCTCCTCGATCGTCTTGTCGTCGGTGTTCATCAAGGCACCGAACACCTTTTGAAGAAGCTTTCTGTTCAGCTTGTCGTCTTCAGAGCCTACCTCGACGTTTGGCTTGATGTTGTTAATGAACTCGGTGGCGATCTCAGAGCCCACAATCTCGTAAAGCTCTGGAACGGCCTTCAAAGTGGCAGCGATCTGGTCCAAAGGCTTGAAGCCGCAGAAACCTTCAAAGTCAGTGACTGCAATGGCCATTTCTGGTTTGTGGTTGTCATCTGGGTAGTTCTTGGGGTCGCTGGCGTGAAGCTGCTTGGCCAAAGCCTTGTCTGGGTGAGCCTGGATCGACAAGACCTTCTCGATAGACAAGACCTTGAACAAGAAGGGCAACTCCTTGTCAGAGCCAAACTTCTCCACCACAGAGGGATGCAAATACAGGTTGGCGTCAGAGGAAACAACGTCTCTCAAAACCTGGCCCGAAAGCTTATTGTCGTCCACGACCTTCGAAGGAACAGAAGGGTGAGTGCCCATCCAAAGCTCAGCGTACGGCTTGGACTCATCGATTTTGGTCTCAGGGTTCGACTTGGCAGCGAACTGAGCCACGGCTGAAGAAGAGCCGACTTTACCCCAGTCGTAGTTCTGAAAGCCGCAGTCGATTCTGAAAAGCTTGGACATGACGAAAGATATGCTGTGTTTCTGGTTATTTAAAGGGAAAGTCCCAGGGTGTCAGTAAAACGCGAGACTAAAAAAAGTGTTATGGTATATTTTTCGTGGGTATTGGCGCCCATGCACGCATGCACTCCTGACAGCTTAACATAGCCTATAGCATCGGACTTCACTGTCATACCTTCCGAGCAGAATTACAATAGAATGAAGTTTTGGAAAATCATTAAGACCTATTAAGGTGGTTCGCTTGGGTCCTAACAAGTCCGACGCGTCGCCGTGCGCGTATTTGCGTCAAAGAAGCGCCCTCAAAGGCAAGAACGGCTATTTTTTGAACTCGACGATATGGAAATCTCTAAATCTTATTCCTCGATTGGTGTTATTCCGGTCTTGTCCGTGAGGCAACGTGGTGGCTGCAATTGTTTGTCCTGCAGGTATCACTCAAAACATCAACATTCTCTTTGCAGGTATCACCACCATGCGATCAGAATGGGTCGAGACGGCATCAGGTAACCGGATTTCAAAAGATGCTACATTAAATGGAACCAAACAGATCTCGATTGGTGAGAAATGTACTATATCGCCAGGAGTGGTAATTACGGGCGACGTTGCCACCGATACCCCAGATCAGTCAACCATCACCTTGGGGAAGTACTGCTTTCTTGACGAAGGCTGCTCCGTCGTTCCAGCAGAAACTAAACACCAGGGTGTATTCAGCGCGGTTTACATCGGCAACTACACCGTCATTGGCAAGAATACCAAAGTCAGGCTGGCACAGGTGGGTAATCGGGTCTGCGTGGGTGACAATTGCATTTTGGGTGACCACAGCATTATCAGTGATTGCTGCAGAATAGCGGACGGGACGATTATACCGCCCAAAGCAGTGATACCCCCTTACAGTGAAGTATTGGGAGTGCCTGGTCATTCACACTTGGTGGAAGGAATTAGCCCTGGTTACAGAAAACTCTTGGAGAATAATGCTCGCTTGAGACAAGTTCAGGGATAATCTAGTCGTGTTTTTCTGTGACATTGCCAATGATGCCTCTTCCCTTCAGCCCGATCTTGCTTCTTCTGATAAACCTCATGGCAATCTTGTACAAGACGTAGAAGCCAATGAGTAAGAAAATTACTCCGAGGGGACCGTGCTGGTAGACGGAGTCGAGTGTTCTGAACCAGCTGGTGAATGGACTTGCCGCAAGTTTGCGCGTGAAGCCCGAGATCTTAATGCCTTTTGTTAACTGAGTGTCTAGGAGATGCAATAAAACTGGACGCAACTTTGCTGGCTCAACCGTGAGCTTTTCTCCTTGCAAAGAACGGTCCCAGTAGTATTTGGTATTTTTGGTGACGACAATCGAGTCGCCAGGCTTGTAGCCTTCTCCATCGATATCCCATCCAACATATTTCGCCAAACCAGGGTGTGCTTTCAAGTCAATGTAAACGAAAAGGGCATCGTCATGGTCAAAAAGATGTGGAACCTCTGCTTTCATAGCATTGATCACTTCAAGCGGCTCAGCGCCCTTCTCCTTGAGAGCATTGATCCTATCCCATTTTGCGCTTCTCTCCTCGGTCAACAGTTGGAAGTAGTACTCTTTTTTCAAGAACAAGTACTCATGAGCCACCAATGATATGTCGTACAAAATCTCTTTAAACTGATCCTCCTTGTCACTGTCGACAAATGTGACGACAATTTTGTCATTCATCTGGTCCTTCACGTTGAAGTACCATTCAATGTATTCTGGGGTCAATTCCTGGAACAAAGGATACATGTTCTTCATAACCCACGCTTCGAGTTTTTCAGGATTTCTCATGTCCTCCGGAGCATAGTTTTGAAACACTGTTGGAACCATGGAGTTTTCCTTGAACATATAAAGGGTTGGTTTGTTCGTCAATGTGGTTGCAATGTGTAGAGGGCGATTATATTGCACATCTTTGAGGTCTTCGTCTGTGCGAATGAAGTCAACCAACCCTTTGGACTGATATTCCAATGTTTCCTCGAACTTCACCGATCCGGATCCGTATAGACGTATGTTGAATGGCAGGGATGTCACCATTTCAAGAAGGTGCGGAAGAATGTCTTTGTCCTCTTTGGTAATCTTCTTCTTGTCGAACGCAAAGATGAGGGCAACTCGGGGGTCCAATGGAAGCGAAATATCCAAAGGCTTTGCTGGCTTTTCGGTGACAAAAAGATCCAAATCCTCGAAGTGACCGGCTGTTGCAATTTCATATTGACAATTGAGCGCTAATTTCTGAATCCATCTCTTCATTGCATCAATATCCATTCCCCGGTTGTAATCGAACCTGATTATACCAGTGTGTTTTGGCAAAAACATGGCATATTTTGGTGATTGACGCAAGTCGGAACTCAATTCTGGGAAGCCGAGCTTTTCACACAAGGCAGGGTTTGACTTACAATTGAGATGGCCTGCTTTGGTGGAGCTGACGATCAAGTTAGACAATCTGTCCCAGTCACTCTTGATTCGCAAGCAGTCCATGCATGTTCTAGAAAACTTTCCAGACTCCCATTCCTCGTCAGTAGAGGAGAACATGCCGATGAACCATGGCTCTTCCATTTCTCCGGCCACGATTTTCAATGTGGTGTCAGTGTCTAGAAGCTGAGACGACGAGGGCATCGAACCGGAACCATCACCAAACTCAGCCGCTGTCTTCTTCATGAATTTTTTGAAGTTTTCGGGGTTTTGTTTGAGTGCACGGGGGAATGAGTCCACGATCTTGGCCTTACCGGTATGCTCTCCCTCGGCATTAAGTTCTGGCACGTAGACTCTCAAGTTCGGATAGTATGACACGATTTCACGTTCACAGAGATCACCGCTTTCAACACAGTTCACTTGTCTCATATGAATGCCCGATGACTGCTGACTCTCGACTGTTTCCTTGAAAGTTTGTTCCCATTTGGGTGCTAACGCTTGACAGTGGTGGCAGTAAGGAGAAAAAAATTCAATGAAGGATAAATGTTTTGAAGTAAATTCATCAAACGTTTCTATTGTGAGCAACTCGGGCATCTTGACCTCAGCATTTGCATCAGGTGCCTCTCCGGTGGTATCTTGATTTTCACTCTTTTCGGCCTCGGACTTTTTGCCTTCAGAATCAGGCTTGATGGCCGCTGGGCTCGCTATAGCAGAAGCTAGCAAAGGCACGCATGCTAGAAGAGAGAGCCTCATTTGACTCTTGGAGCTTTCGGAGGTAAAAAGATAGGGCGGTTATCTAGGTGTTTTGGAACTTGGAAGTTGAACACGTGACTTCTAGGCGACCTTTGCCAAGGGCAATTTTCAAATCGGCTGCAAGATGAAATTTATTATTATTTGTGATTTTTTAGTAACTTTTACAGGTTATCTTGTTGTGAAGAGATAACCTTTCGGTTCTAGGATCTGCTCTTTCGCAGCCATGGGTGCAAGACACTAATGCTCACTCGATGTCTCAACGCATCTACTGGATTATCTCGAGCCTTTTGGATAAGATTCTGCTTTCCTGATTATTGGTTTTCCCGTGTCATTTTCCTTCTTCAGTTTCATAAGATGAGTTGTTTAACAAAAAAAAATATGGGAACACATGTTGGTCCCCTAAACAGAGCCTAGACTCCGTATAGAGTACTAGGTAGACCTTCAAGCGCCGTTTTCGTAAATTTCAAAAACTGATGACAAACGTCTTTTCGGCAAAATCGGATGGGTAGAATGCAAAATTATGCACACATGTTCCAAAATATGCCCTCTTCCACTACCAAATGGTCCAGAATGAAGGCTTCTTCCTACACAGAGAAGGTTCCGCACCGCAACCAGACTGTCTTCCTTAAGCTTCGATCTTCAGAACCACCACCTACTTTCATAATCCCACAATATGGCAGAATCAATGCAAGTCGACCTGCCTGTAATTGACGAGAGCTTGTACTCGAGACAGCTCTATGTCTTGGGTAAGGAAGCCATGCTCAAAATGCAAAACGCCAACGTATTAATAATCGGTCTTAGAGGACTCGGTGTGGAGATCGCCAAAAACGTCGCTCTTGCTGGCGTCAAGTCATTGGCTCTCTACGACCCTAAGCCTGTCGAAGTCCAGGACTTGTCCTCTCAATTCTTCTTGTCCGAAGATGACATTGGCAAGCCAATCGCAGACGTGACAGCCGCCAAAGTCCTGGAATTGAATCTGTACGTGCCCATTTCCGTGGCCTCAGACATCTCAGAGTCGACTTTGGTCAAGTATAAGGTTGTGGTGGCAACAAACTTGTCCTTGGAAGAGCAGGTCAAGATCAATGAGTTCACCCACAAGAACGACATCGGTTTCATCGCAGCCGACACGAGAGGTCTTTTCGGTCAATTGTTCGTCGACTTGGGCGAGGCCTTCCCTGTTATTGACCAGACTGGTGAAGAGCCCTTGACGGGTATCGTGTCAGACATTGAGGCTAACGGCTCTGTCACCATGTTGGATGACAACAGACATGGCTTGCAAGATGGCGACTACGTCAAGTTCTCCGAGGTTGAAGGCATGCCTAAGCTTAACGATGGCTCTCCCCACAAGATCGAGGTTCTTGGGCCTTACGCTTTCAAGATTCAGATTGACGAATCCTACGGTACCTACAAGAAGGGTGGATTGTACACGCAGGTTAAGATGCCTTCCAAACTTAACTTCAAGTCTCTTAAAGAGCAATTGGCCGAGCCAGAGTATGTCTTCTCGGATTTCGCCAAGTTTGACCGTCCACCACAGCTTCACTTGGGATTCCAGGCCCTTCATGCGTTCCAGACAAAGCACCAAGGCAAACTACCACGCCCATGCCATGAAGAAGATGCCAACGAGTTTTTGAGATACGTTGAAGAGTTGAATGCCCAGAACCCATCTATTTTGGGTGAGGCTGAAATCAACAAGAAGCTCTTGAAGGAGTTGTCTTTCCAGGCCACTGGTGATGTGCCAGGCGTGTCAGCCTTCTTTGGAGGTTTGATCGCTCAAGAAGTATTGAAATGCTGCTCTTCAAAGTTCGGACCTGTAAAGCAATACCTTTACTTCGACTCCTTGGAATCTTTGCCTAAGCCAGAAGACTTCCCCAGAACTGCTGAAACCACCCAGCCAGTTGGTTCCAGATATGATGGCCAAATTGCTGTTTTTGGTTCTGAATTCCAAAAGGCCATTTCCAACCTTAAGGTATTCTTGGTTGGCGCTGGTGCAATTGGTTGCGAGATGTTGAAGAACTGGGCTATGATGGGCTTGGGCTCTGGTCCTAACGGAAATATTATTGTTACCGATATGGACTCCATCGAAAAGTCCAACTTGAACAGACAGTTCTTGTTCAGACCAAAAGATGTTGGAGGCAACAAGTCTGAGATTGCAGCCAAGGCAGTTCAAGCCATGAACCCACATTTGGTGGGTAAGATCGAGTCCAAGTTAGATAAAGTTGGTCCTGATACCGAGCATATCTTCGATGATGCCTACTGGCAAAGATTGGACCTTGTCACCAATGCTTTGGATAACGTTGATGCGAGAACGTACGTCGATCGTCGTTGTATCTTCTACAAGAAGCCATTGTTAGAGTCTGGAACTCTTGGTACAAAGGGTAACACCCAGGTTGTGATTCCAAACTTGACTGAGTCCTACTCGAGCTCTCAAGACCCTCCTGAGAAGTCCATCCCATTGTGTACTTTGAGATCTTTCCCCAACAAAATCGACCACACCATTGCCTGGGCCAAGTCATTGTTCCAGGACTATTTTGCCGACTCTCCTGAAACTGTGAACTTGTACTTGAGTCAACCAAACTATGTTGAGCAAACCTTGAAGCAGAACCCAGACATCAAAGGTACCTTGTCCAACATTGCTCAGCTCTTGAACAACAGACCTTATACTTTCGAGGACTGTATCAAGTGGGCAAGAATTCAGTTTGAAACCAAATTCAACCATGAGATCAAGCAATTATTGTACAACTTCCCTGAGGATGCAAAGACCTCCAATGGTGCACCATTTTGGTCTGGTCCAAAGAGAGCTCCAAAGCCATTGGAGTTTGACATTGAGAACCCAGATCACTTGAACTTCATCATTGGTGGTGCCAACTTGTTGGCCTTCATCTATGGGTTGAAGGAGCAAAGTGTTGCTCCTGAGGATTACAAGAAGGTTTTGGATTCCATCGATGTCCCTGAGTTCACTCCTAAATCTGGCGTCAAGATTGCTGCCAACGAACAAGAAGCTGAGGAGCAGGCTAGGCAACTCTCTGGCTCCCTTGATGAGGAAGAGATCCAGAGGATCGCTGCAACTTTGCCCGAGCCATCAAGCTTGGCAGGCTACAGATTGTCTCCTATTGAGTTCGAGAAGGATGATGACACGAATCACCACATCGAGTTCATCACCGCAGCTTCCAACTGTAGAGCTTTGAACTACGCCATTGAGACTGCTGACGCCTCGAAGACTAAATTCATTGCAGGTAAGATTATTCCTGCTATTGCTACCACCACCGCCTTGGTTACAGGTTTGGTCTGTCTCGAACTTTACAAGGTTGTGGCCAAGCACGACGATATTGAGGTTTACAAGAATGGTTTCGTCAACCTTGCCCTTCCTTTCTTCGGCTTCTCCGAACCAGTTAAGTCTCCAAAGGGTAAGTACAATGGCAAGGAATTTGATCAAATTTGGGACCGTTTCGAGCTTGAGGGAGACATCACTTTGAAGGAGTTGCTCACTCACTTCGAAGAGAAGGAGGGCTTGGAGATCTCCATGTTGTCTTACGGTGTCACGCTATTGTACGCCTCTTTCTTCCCACCAAAGAAGGTCAACGAGAGATTGAGTATGAAGTTCACTGACTTGATCAAGACCGTTAGCAAGAAGGATTTGCCCCCTCACGCAAAGAGTTTGATTCTCGAGGTCTGTTGCGACGACAAGGAGGGTGAAGATGTTGAGGTTCCTTACATCAATTTGAAGTTATGAGTCTAGAATTTAATACAGAAGCCTGATGAGAATTAGCTAGTTTGCTATGTAGTGAGTCTCCTAAACTCACCCATCTGAGAACTTAGTGTCTCAAAGTCGCCATCCTGATTTACTTCGCCATCTTTAAGAACAAGAAGTCTGGGAAGATGCGACATCATCTCAACGTCATGAGTTATGACCACAATTGCTAAGGCAGGATTTGACTGATGAAGCTTGGATATGATGAGGTCTGTAATGATGTCGGCATTTGCTTGGTCTAGATTAGACGTACATTCGTCAAACACGATCATCTTAGGTTCACGAATAAGAGCTCTTGCAATACACAATCTCTGAAGTTGACCAGACGACACGGTTCTCTCGTCGAGAACAGTATCCAATCCATGTTGCATTGAAGATACCAAATCCCAAATGTTGCAAAGCTTGAGGCATTCGACCACAAAAGCCTTGTCGATAAAGGCCTTATCCACACCGTACAATAAGTTCTCCCAAATCGAGCCCTCGAAGAACTTTGGGCGCTGTGGTACAACGGCAACATTTCTCCTGTAACTCAATGGATCTAATGTTTTCACCGGTTTTGATTCATATTTCACGAGACCTCTATCGCAATCCATGAGACGGCCCATAAGCAGTGCAATGGTTGATTTACCACTTCCAGAAGCACCAACAATACCCACAACCTCACCCTTTTTGATGCTGAAGCTCAAGTCTTGAAGCACCTTCTTTTGCACTGAGTCAGACTCGTGATAGCTGAAGCTGACGTTCTCGAAACTCATGACGTTCTCGCTTTGCATGTGCTTATGAATTTGGTCCGTACCAGAGGTCTCGATTGGCGAAGCTGTAAGCGAAAGAAGTTGAGCAAATAAGGTTCCAGCTCTCTGTCCTCTTGCAATTTCAGGAAGCGAACTCATCAAGGTCGAAGCAGATGCCATGGTGAATGTAAGAAGCGTCAAAACCTGGAGCATAGACTCGTACGAGTATTCCATACTGGCGACTAGGTATAAGCCGTAGTAAAGGATAGCACCTGTTGCTATACTGACACACATCTCCAGAAGAGCAAACCCAAGACCCGTAATACAAGCACGAAGCTTTGCCACAGAAGAAAGCTCACTCAACTTCGTTTTCAAGCCATCTTGGAAGTCATTCTCAACTCCAAATGCTTTGACAGTTTTGACTCCCAGAACAGCATTATGGTTGAACTTCTCGACCTCACCCACCTTGTCCTTATACCTTGTCTCAAACTTCAGCAAGAACAAGCCATATGAAACCGTCACCAACAAAATAAGCGGAACAAATGCTGTGCCAACAAGAGCCAATTTCCAGCCCGAGACAATTGACCAAATCAAACCCAAAAGTGTCAAGGCGATAAGAGAAAGCACAGCAGATAAGAATTCGGAAACCAAGTTGCGCAAATCTCTAGCATCATTCATCAATAACGCAGTCAACTCAGCTGGTTTCAGGTATTTTCTTGAGAAGAAGGACATGTCTTGGTCGTTGATGATAACTAATGCCTTCTTTCTAAGGTCCACGACCCATCTTTCAGACGAAAAGGCCAACAAGAAATGTGAAGTAAAGTAAATGGCACCATCAAACACGATAAGACCAATTACTAATGATGACCAAAAAACCGCTCCTTTTCCCTTCGAAGTGAGCTTGGTGGATTGGTCCACAACATTCGAAAGCAATTTTGAAAAGCAGAATGACAAGACTGGTGTGATGACTCCACTCAACAACGACAAAAATAAGCCAATCATAATTAAGAGCTTGCTTTGAATGGAATGGTAACAATGCTTCAAAACTGCAAACACACTAAGGATCTGAAGCTCATCACTGTTAGAGCCGTGCTCCAAGTCCTTGGCTTTGTTGGGTCCATAGTTAAGCCCATCGGTGAAAATCGACTCAGTGTCCTCCTCCAAAGAGGTCAACTTCTCAAGAGAGCCAGTCTCCTGCTTTTTTGAAGTATCTCCTTTTTGTTGCTCATATTTCTCAACCTCGCCATTCATGAGACTAAGCACGTAGTCCCCATCAGTTATATCCAGCAATTCATGAGACACAATTATTGTCATCCGACCCTTCCTCCATTTTCTGATATTCTCGTAAAGCTTTTGTCTCGTTATCTGATCAACAGCACTCAAGGCCTCGTCCAATATAAGAATTGGGCTATTTTTCAAATAAGCTCTGGCAATCCCAATTCTTTGCATCTGACCACCAGAAAGGGAGGATGATATCCTCAGATGAATCCCATGTTCCAAAGATCTGACAAAAGTTCCAAGCTCGGCAAAGTCACAGGCCTCCAAAGCTTTCTCTTCCAGTATCTCTCTACTTCCAAGTGCAATGTTCTCATAAAGCAGCTTGTCAAACACGAGTGCGTTCAGCTCGACCAAGGTGATGAAGCTTGATACCTGGGATTCGCTCAACAGGGAGATGTCTAAACCGTCAACGATGATTCTTCCTGATGAAGGAATGTAAAACTTCATTAAAAGTGAGACAAGTGTAGACTTGCCGCAACCTGAGGGACCCACAATGAATGTGAAATGTTCATTAGAAATTTCAGCCGATACGCTATTGATGTTTTGTTTTTCAGAAGCACCATAGTTGAAGCTCACGCCTTCAAGTTGTAAAAGTTTGCCTGAAACGATTGGATCGAAAGTCTCCTCGGGATCTTGGATACTTTTATTCTTCTCCTCTTCCTCAAATTCCATGAATTCGGCAATTGTGGCAGCTGCAGCTTGACCTTTATTGAGTAAAGCTAACACATTTGCAACGGTCGACACATGTGTTCCCAATATGAGACATGAACTGAAAGCTGTCAAAACCTGACCCACTCTGAGCTTCCCGATCAGAACCATGTAAGCGCCAAACCAAAAGCCCTGAACAAATATGAGAAAAGATAACACCCTCAAAATCAGTTGGTTGGAACTGATTGAAAGAGACATTTTTGTGAAAGCTTTAGCAGACTTATCCACAATCTGGTTGAAACTCACCAGGTCTCGATACTTGCCGTTGAGTAAGCGAACAAGGTTGCCAGATACGAAGGACCAGTCCAAAATCTTCGAAGCTTTGGCACTGAGATTATTTTCTTCATTCGCAAAACGAAATGTCAATCTGCCAAAGATAATGCTCGAGAGGGCCATGAGTGGGGCTGAAGCCATAATGACCAAGGTAAGAGACCAAGACGAAATGAAGGCAGAGACAAGGAGAAGGACAATGGATGAAGAGCCTTGCACCAAAAGCGCTATATTCTCTGACAAGGCAACTCTAACCTCCTCTATGCAACGGTTCACTTGGGCCATGCTGCCCATAAGGTTCTCTTTTTGCTCGTACCATTCGAGATTCTGATCCAACAAGTTGGACAAGAGTCTGGATCTCGCTCTTTCCTGTTGCCTTTCTCCAATGATAAGCCACAAATGGATACTTAGCCAGGTAAAAAACATCCTCACCACTCCAACAACCATAATGAGACCGCACAAAAGCCTTATATCTGCAACAAAATCACCCATTCCGTCGTAACCCGCTGTGATGTATTTGGTGAGTTTGTCAAAAGCTTTACCGTAGATTTGCGTCTGGATTGGTGAGCCAGCCGATGCGATCACCATGGTGAGAAGTCCAGAAATGAAGAATGGAATATCGCTTTTGGTTGCAAACATCAAAAGTCCGCCTTTTCTGGATGGGGCACCAGTCCCCAAATCATCACTGACTGTCATTTCTTCGAAAATTAATTGACCTTATTTCCACATCCATCCTCGACCATTTTATAGATTTCGTTGTAAATATTTTTGGTTTCATGAGTATACCGTTTTTGGTCTCGCAATGGTGTCGAATACCGATATTATCTGCATAATATGCGGTGCATTAGAGATCGGCGATTATGCAAGCACTCATTAATTTAAAACCACTTATTGATGTTCGTATAAGACATTAGCATATATACCACATAAAAAAGACACAACATGTCGGGGTTGTGACTCAGTATATAGGAAATAACGTAGCCAGGTATTCCATATCGTCCAGACTATTTGTATTTTTCTCACTTACCTTTCTTTTCCTGGCAGCTTCTCTATTTTTCCTGGCTCTGGACACTGCCTCTATGCCGCTTCCTCCACCGAATTTCACAAGACCTCTGAAAAATAAATCCAATTTCTCGAAATCGTCCTCGCTTTCCGTGAGATCAATCGTGACCCGGAAGGGTAGTTGAATCATGATCGCCCTAAAATCAAAGAGGGATTTAGAGAGCCAATAGTGCTCCAGCTCTGCCACCACCAAATTCCTGTCGTAGCTGGGGTCTGACTTGAGTTTCAAGAAGAACATGAGTTTCATGGTCTGTTCCACAAGACGCTTGATCATTGGATGACTTTTAGGTAGATGTAAAATTCCTGGCGATGTGTACACTTTTAGGTTGAGCACCAAAAACTGAGACCTCAAAGCGACATCACAGTAAGAGTAATGCTTAACATCATTGAGATCATCAGTATCTTTAGCATACGCACTTCTGGGCAAGTGAATTTTGCGTGCCATGTCAGTAAAATCAGGATGTGCTGGATGATCACGAGGGATTAAAAATTGGTCCTCGGGATTCAATCCTGGTATAATACGTTGCTGAGCAACGATACTGACTCGTGAAAGAAGTTCTCCAACCTCCTCCGGGCTGGCCTGTTTCAGTTCACTCTCGTTGACTCCTGCAATAATGTCTAGAAGCTTGAACATGCATTGAGATGCCTCATTTGTCAAAGTCAGGAAAAGATTGAACCCCGAATGAGATGATGATGGTGGTATAAGCACACCCAACTTACGAAGTGTTTGCTGCTGGGCAAAAGCTTCACGGCCCTCTGTATTTGTGATGTCAATCAAAAGGTGAAGATCTCTTAAACTACCCTTTGTGATCTGCGAGTTCAGCATCCCCAATTTCGAAATGTAATCAAAAAGGAAGAATAAAAGCTTTGCAATTGTGATTCCAAGGGAGTCTGGTTTGGTGATGTTTGCCTGTTGCTTGACTAGCTTGTATTTGATCAAAAGTGATCTAGCTTTGTTGAGGTGAGAGATCCACGAAACGGGAACCGAAGTTGCGTCGACGAGACTGATATCACAAAATAGTACTGTAAGGATAAGAACTGTCAATATAAGCCCTTCTATGTGTCTGAGGGAGTTCTCGTTATTTTTAAGATCGGTGAAGGCTTGCACCAACAATTTCATGCAAATTGCTGAGGAACGTTTCTGATTTCTATCATGCTTAGGGTTTTTAGTGATTGTGAATAAGCATGAGGCTCCGAGAGCTATGATTGCATAAACCAAATACTTGAACATCAACAGATATTCGAGAAGAACATGCATGATTTCGTTATCCTTCGTGGTTGGAGCGAACGGATATATGAACAAAAAGAGCTCCTTGCAAGATACAGCACGAAAGTATTCGAGTTCCTCAGCTGAGAGGTTGTAAGTCTCGTTAACACGTTCAACAAGTTCCTCGTTACTTGGCTTGTTTCGTGGTTCGTTAAGCATAGGATCACGCATATGTTCGTTGATATTTTCCCAGAATTGACTTCCCTCGGGCTTACGGTCAAGATCTGTACCGTAACGAAGATAGTCCTGAAGCTGGGCTTCATTAAAAAGATGATTGTCGCTGTTTGCCTCATTGAGAATAATGTCCGAGTGGAAGGGCTTCAAATGTGCCCCATCGGGCGTACTCTGAGCTGAAAGTTGCAGAATCCCATCATTTCCCAAGACATCAAATGTAGCCAAGCCATGCACCAAGGTATTAGCATCATCGAGAACGTTCTCAAACAAAAGCATATCCATCTGCCCATCATCCTGTACTATATCCGGTAGTCTAAACAGGGGAGGCAATGGGGACCCAGACAAATTCGTTGAGTCATTATTGGGGATCATGTTGAGATGGGGTAGGGGTGAAATTCCTGAGGCTGTGGTTGTAGGTAGTCCCAATGACAGTGACCCATGTAGATGACTGAAGCCATTGAAACTACCTCTAGGATCATTGGCGTGATGGGGAAGTCCTGTATTTGTTGCCGAGGGAGCCGGTGTGGGCATACCCACAGCGTTGGCTGGTTGTTGGTGAAAGTCATGATGCATCACGTTAGTCCGATCCTGTCGTATCCTATCATCGTCATGCTCTTCCTGTTCTTGAGGTAAAATCGGTAGAGCCTCCTTCTTAACCTCTTTTGCCCGGCGAGGCTTGTTGCCGCTATTAGCGGTGGGGTAGACACATGGAAATTTAACTCTTTGGCAGTTCCCACACGTAGGGTGCACTTCATCACACTTGATCTTGCGGCGTTTGCATTCAATGCACCCAGCGCGAGAGTAACGTCGTTTGACGATAACCTTTCTCGGCTCAGGACTCATCAAGATGAGTTATTGGCGAAGTTTTTGTGTCTGAAAAAAAGTGAAGCACTCAAATTGAAGGTCTGATCGAATTTGGAGAATCGAGCCGATTAGCATGCCGAGATCTTGCACGTGACCTGCTTCGAACAATAGGAAGCACAAATTCGCCGGACTTACAGGCGATAGATTGTGTGTAGGCGAGCTATTGAGGAAATTTCACTTCCAGCGGAATTACTGTGGAATTTTAATTTTGACAAAATTCGCTGCATTTATCAAAGAGGCTTATTAAGAAACATCATCGTTTAAGTGAGTGAGGCGCATTTTTCGACTATATATTTTTTGCAGCTATCAGAATAGCCATGCGCCTAGACTCAATGTGCTTGAGCAGGGGGTTATTGTTCAGATTAGTTTCTTTAATTATGAATACAGCGTTAGGTCTATAAGTCGTTGTCTCGTGTCTTTCAGTTTTCACTATCGTCTCAGTTTCGCCATGAGTGGGGAGTAGCCTATACTCTCGTTCATGAGGTCGAGCTCGTGTTGTGAGAGGTAAGTTGGGGCCTGCTTCTTCAACTCGGCATTTGACTTCCTTAAGGATTCCATTTCTGTCTCGGCTGCATTGAGCCTGTCCTCTAGAGCCTTTAATTTTCTCAAATTGTCCAATTGGTCGTAGCTCATGCCACCCCTAAACCCTCCAAGTAAGACATTCGTGGCGACGAAACTGCCAATTAGCAAAAAATTGCACAAAAATACCAGTTTCCAACTAATTGGTTTGAGAAACTCGTTGATGATTTCACCAAATGTCTGCGCTGTGACCAACGACTTTCCTATCTTCTCCGGGTCTCTATTCATGCATTTTTCCCATTCCAAGCAAGGCATTTCTAGAGCAGGAGCTCTATGGTCAGTGGCGCATTTATTGCGGTAGAATTCTCTGGAGCACAAGCTGATTTCTCGCAATGCGTCAGTGGTTGCAATCTCCATCTTGTGTCTTGTATCAGCCTTGATGGTCGAGATGAAAAGGTAGATGATGTAAAAAATAATCAGTGCAAGTAGAACGTTGAATAGCAATTGGAGGTACATCAGTAGAATGTATGGAATAGTGTAGTTATTGAGGAAGCCTGGACGTGGATTTGTCTTATCGTCTGTGGTGTTCCCTTCAGGCTCCGTTCTGAAAACACGTTCTCCGTTATCCTCCTCGTATCTCATGACCTCTTTCGTAGGAGAAAAGACAACCCTACCCATTCTTGGTGGTGTTCCCAGTGGAGGATGGGCTCCAGGTAACGGAGTTGACGATGAATTCACCGGCTCTGTGAAAGTTCGAGACGGGCTTGTTTTCGATATTGACGGTAGTCTCTTGCGGGCTCCATGTGCATCGTTCTTAGCTTGCGTTGACCAACCCGTGCCATTTTCGTATCGAAGAAGATCTTGATCGAGGGTAGATTCGGCATCGGGTAGAATGTCATTGACGATTACAGGTTTTGCTTCGGGGGTAGCATACTGCGTTTCCTCATTTCGGTTCCCAAAAGGGATCCTGAATTGTGGCAGCATTGGGTGTGGAATTATGTGAGGCTTGTGAAAGTTGGTAACTAAAATGGAATTGACCTCATTTCGCTGTTGTTATGAGCGGTGCGGCGCGCGATGGTTTATCGTTATGCCAAATCGTTGGGTCAACCGTTGGGTGACGTCAGTGCTCAATTCGTACCACTAGATCAGGAATATCCGAAATATAATTTGAAGAATTGAAGATTTATGAAGCTATTCCCGTTTAGGTCTCCAAGCACATTTGAAAAAAATCGGGGCTTGACTCCGCTCTTTAGCAGCCGTATAGAATCGGAGAGTGCTACCTTATGTGGGTCAATTTTTGAAAAGACTGGGCCAAATGCTTAAGTTACACTCTTAACTCGCCTGGGTTAATTTTTGTCCCTCCTTTCGGTTTGCCTTGCGCTGGTATTCCGTGAAGCTTCTAATCTCGAACCACTGAGCGAGAAGGAATATCGAGTTTGCACCCACAAAACTCGAAATGAATCACTTGAAGATATTGCAAGTAACTGTGAAATGAACCAAAAACAATGAAATGTAAAACTTTTTTTATTCACACTCCAGTGTATTTTACTCTTATAATTCTTTAAAACGCATATTTCATGAATTCCTCTCGTTCGCACTATAATCACAAACTTACACCCACTTCTGTTCATTATGCCATGTCTTTGAAAGATCGCCTTCAAGCATACAAATACAATGAAGATGGCAATATCGATTTCAAGCCCGAGAAAGTTGCAAAGCCAAAGGCTCTGAAGAGCAAGAAGGCACAATCTAAGGAACTGACTACCGCTCTTCTTGATCTCCCTCCCTCGATCGCACCGGGAATCACAGTGGTGTTCGTGGGGTTCAACCCTGGAGTGGAATCTTCGAAACAACAGCACCATTACGCTCACTTTACGAACCTCTTTTGGAAGCTTTTCAATGCTTCGGATCTACTAAGAAAAGTCTTGACTCGTCGTGATATATACATTGAAGATCATGGTTTGCTCAAAGAGCTCTACGGCAACGACGCAAAAATATGTACAGCTGCTGCCCGGCACGACAACGATTTGCTAGAATATGGCATTGGGTTCACTGACCTTGTGCTACGCTGCACCAAAACGGCTCAGGAACTCAGCAAGGCGGAGAAGATAGCCAACGTACCTCGATTGATGCTGGAATTCAACGAGTCCAAGGCACCATTCGTAGTATTTATCGGCAAGGGGATTTGGGAAATCGTGGTGCAGTTTCTTATACCTGGGTACAAGCTTACCAAAGCCAATTTCGCATGGGGAAAGCAAGAGGCCTCCACAACGCTTATCCAAGCTTTTCATAAGCGCTGCCCCGAGAAACCCTCAGTGTATGTATTTCCAAATACCTCTGGATTGGTGGCTCTGATGAAATTCCCCGAGAAGCTTGCTCTTTGGAATGCCCTTGTGGATGAGATATAAATAATTATTTCCAAAGTTTGTGAAAGACATCGTCCAAGTCCTTCTCGAACTTCACCAGCAGCTCATCATTGACATTCTCGCCTAGCTGGCCGAAATTTTTTGTGAATAGCTGGTCTACCACAAAACGAATAGCATTGCATTGCTTTTGACTGTAGCAGTCGTTGTATCTTAGTTTGACAAAAGCTCTTTCCTGCAACTCATTGCACTTAGCTCCTCGCTTAATCTGAGCCGAACAATTATCTATTCCAAACATCAGCCAGCCATCGTAGCATTTGAGGACTGCCTCTTGGAGTTCAGCACAATTTATAGCCGAAGATTTTTGTGCCAGATATTCTCTTTTGAACTGATCAAGCTCAAAAGAGTATTCATGCTGGTTTTTCTCCAATACCTTGGCTACCTGTGCATCTTTGGAAGCTAGCTCTTGTTTCTGCTTTGTCGGGCTCACTTCTTTGTAAAACTCCTGCAAATTCTCGGGAAGCTCATCGGCGATGTCCTTTTTGGGTTCGCCTGATCCGAAGGGCCACATCTAGGTATTTTGCAGATTCGAGTACCGGTATATGATTACTATGTATGCGAGAATGAGTTGGTGCACAGGTGCATCACCTATAACCGTGTTTTGCAGCCATTACCCTAATTTCAATCAGCTTCTTTCGAGGGTTCCTTCAAAAAGTCGGCCGACTTCAACATCGACAAGATTAAGGAGATTATCAGCGTGGGTGTTTTTCGAGTCTCTTTGGCGTGCCAATTCGTCTCTCAAGGGCCGTAGTTTACTCACAATGATTAGTCTCAACCTATTGGCGATGGGGAAGAGACGTACAAGCTGTGTTCTGTCAAACTTCAGATGTGGATTTGTTTCGGAAAGACCATCAATGAGTAGAGATATGCGAACATCCATTTTTTGGAAAAAGGAAAAAAGCCCGAAAAGGAAGACCTCCGTTGTCCTGTCTGTGCCAATGGCACTGAGGTCGTACCAATCGACCCAGTCTTCCAAATCACCCATGATCTTTATAAAATACTCTTCCTGGCCGAAAAAGGCGTGTTCAGGTGAAACCAGCACCCAGAGCACATCGACGATTTGGGCCAAGTCAGTGAGCAATTGCTGCAAAGTGTACTCCTTTCTTGTCTCTGCTTGGTTCTTGACAAACTTCCGCTGGACCTGTAGAAGCTCATGATCCAAGTACGCCACGAGCTTACTCTGCTGGGCGCTATTCACACTAGGATGGGCGTTTTTCAGTAACTTCGACAATTCAGCATCGTAGGCACTTTCAAAGGGCACAGTCCACAGGGCAATTTCGACACTGGGCTCTTCGCTTTTTTCATTCTCTCCCGAGTCTGGCGGAGCCATGCTGACGTCATCGTCAGACAAGTCGTCCTCGAGGCCAGGATTGAGATCTAGGTTGTCGGCGGCCAATTGTGCCTGCGGCAATTCGTTCACCTCCTGGTCTGGTGCAGGGTGGAGCGGTGTAGGAGGAGCACTCATGATGGACTAGGCGGACTTGCTGCTGATGAAGCCATAGTCTGGAGATGCGATGCCTGCAGGAGCCGATAAGCCAGGCTTTCGAACAATTTACGGCGATGGCGGCTCAAACGAATAAACGGAGGCAAAATTTGCCAAAAGCAACTTTGGCGACTTCTGGAAGCATGCTGGCGCGAGGCTTTGTGGAGTCGAGGTTGCAGCGTATTTCGCAGCCATTCTAGGACGGGCCACAGTTGAGTGGTTCCAGGGTCGTCACGCGATGGACAAGGCCAAAAAACCCCCAAAACCAATTTTGCAGATCTGGCCCACGTGATGTCGAAGAGCAAACTACGAAACGGCTATCAGGCGGCAGATGTGACATGGATGATAGCAACGCCGAAAAAAGAAACAGGTTTGTGTAGCCACAGCTGAGTAGTGAGGGTTGCAGCGAAACCTGCGTCAGCGGTTGCTGTCATCGTGAGCAGAGGTGAAGAGATGAAAATAGAAAAACCCGAGCGGCCAACATGGCGGAATAATAACTGAAGAGGTTTCTTTATTTTATTGTAGCGTTTACCACTTTTATACATTTTACAGCTCAAAGTGACTTTCCCGATCATGGACCCGTGGATGCCGTGGCGAACGCTGTCTGGCTGATTTTGCAGCAGCGATATGTCCGAGCGACAGTCCGCACACCGGAGGTGAGGTAACGAAGAGGCCGCAGAGAAAAAAGACGAGCCACTGGCGATAAGGCAACGTGATTTGAGATATCGCGATCCTTTAATTCTCGTCTTTTCCACCTGCCCACTGCTTCTGCCACATTTTCCTTTGCCCATATAATCCCCATATATTTCCCTCCTGAGGACCGCTGACTAGCCACCGATGCCTGTTACTCAGCACATTCCAAAGCCGGGCAATGAGCCCAGGGATTCCAAGAAACCCCATCGCCTGATCATCCGCCTCAAGCCAGTGGACTACAAGCCTGAGAAACCTCGTGTCCACGATGCTACTTCTCAGCGCCTGAGCCGCCGCGAGGAGCCCCTGAGTCCCTCTCCTGTCGCAGATAGTCCTCAGCTTCGCCGCAAGAGCACCTGGTCATCTGCCTCAGGCTACAAGCATATCGACAGGTACGCCGAATTTTTTATGAACGATCCCGCTGTTCACAAGGACGTGCCACGTCTCCAGAACCAGTACCTTCGGCCCAACGCCAAGTTTGTGGGCGAACAGCAGAGCGGTGCTTACCGCTACGACATCAAGGTTGAGCTCAAGAGCGTGGACTTGGTGAGCTCCATCGTGACGGGCTTTTTCCAGATCCTGGGCCTTACGGACGAACATCCGCTTATTACCACCTGTTTCAAGGGCGAGATCATCAATAACCCGCTCAATAGCACTCGCTGGCAAAACCACCCTAAGGACTACCAGATGAAGGAATATGCTTTCATCACAGAAGACAGAAACTGGGGCTCTTTTCCCCAGAACGATATTGACCACTGGAGGACGCTCACCCGGGCCTCCAGCAGCATGTCCGAAGAGCACCTTCTATCGAAGTTGCGCAGCATTCATGCCGGGGACCTGGACAACCAGTACATTTACATGCGCTGGAAGGAGGAGTTTTTGTTGCCCGACCTGAGAATCAAGCAATTGAAAAATGCTTCGTTCGAGGGTTTCTACTACGTGGTGCTCAACATTGGTGGTGGCGCTAACACCAACTCGGGCGACTGCTTCTCCTCCCGCATCATTCCCGGCACCATCAGCGGCTTGTACTACCATACCCAGAACGATAAGTTCCAGCTGCTCTCCTTGCGGTACGTTGAAGACAGGGAGAGCTCCTACACATTTGACTTTGCCTAGCTGGGCAATGCGCTGCTCAAGAGCAGTTTAACGATGAGACGAATATTTTACGGGAACTTTTTCTTCTGGGATAGATGCAACTGTTGAAGTCTATTTATAAGCGTTTTTGGAATAGAAAAGATGCTAGGTTAATTACATGTTGAAGAACTGAAGACCTCCCAAACTCTAAGATCGTATCACTTAGTCTTTCTTCTCTGCTCTCTTTGCGTAGATGGCAGCGGTGTATGGCTCCTCGAAAAGCAAAGCAATCTTGTACATGACATAGACAAAAGCTGTCACGACCAAGCCGGTAGGCTTTCCGAACCACAAAGCGGTACCCAAGAAGCACAAAGTGGAACCATTGTACATGGGGTTGTCGTTGATGTTGAATGGGAACGACGTGACTCTTTCGTCCATCAAAATACCAAAGTAGTCACCCAAGTAGGTTCCAGTGACGCCCAATGCCCACATTGACAGCAAAACGAGAACATTGCCAAAGGCGAAGGTACCTACAGCAAGTGCCTTAACCAAGGTAGACTCAACCAATGGTTGAAAAGTGGGCTGAGCCTGGAGGGCCTGGTTGTAGACATGATCACGGAAAATACCCAAGGAGAAAATGGTGAACGCCAACAAGTAACAACCGTTTCTGGCACCTCCAGCGGCCTTGGTGAGGAAGTGGGTCTTGTGCTCAAGACGGGCCACTATGTTCCAGAAAATGGGATTGAAGGCAATGCAGCCAATTGCAAGCTTGAGCTGGCAATTGAAGTCGATGTAGTCGGCAAAATTAGTGTAAAGCTCTGTCCACTGCAGTTTGTCCATGGCTGTTAGGATGTGAATGCACGGTGTAGAAAACGATCTGAATCAGGTCTTGATATATGGGGCAGCGTTGGCATGTGATAGGTGGACTTTACTCACGTGATTCACTGGAAATGTTGGCCCTCACGTAAGAACGGTTCCTTTTGGCGAAAAACGGAGCAGAGCTATTGGGATCGCTAAACAAAGGCTCAACTTTTATTGAGAGCGTTTTGGAGCTGTTGCGAGACAATGGCGGACATGTATGTACTTTGGACAAGTGGCTGCGAAAACTGAGTAGCCTTCGAAAGTTACTCACGACAGGCCGAGAAATAAACACTATTTTTAATACAAAGCATTGATTACTTGGGTCAATGTCATTTTGGCCAATTTATCATTTTCCATTTTGGTCAGCATTAGAATGTTTCATTCGAATACGCTTCGGACCCATTCGCGCACTCGTCTATGCGGCTCGAGGTATGGCTCTTGCTTGTTCAGAACACTGTATCTAATAGCTCCAGACTACAATTTATCATCGACCAGCCCTCTTTCTACCTGGATTCCAAAAAATCGACGCATAATACGACTTCTACACATAGAATTGAAGACAATTGAAATATAATGAGGCATAGAGTTACTTTCATCCATTCCAAATCCTCAGAGGAGAAGGTCGTCAACACCATCAATGATACCTATGTGAGTCTCAAGGAAGATATGGACGTCGCTCGTGAGGATCGGTTCACTTTTCCCGCTCCAGAATTCAAAAATGTGAAGTCGCTACGTTTGCAAGTCAACAAGGGTTACGACAACTCGCGTGTCACACTGCCGTTCTCATATCCTTACCAGATCGGGCTGCATTTCTACGTGAAGCCGCTTGTGATTTCTTCTGTCAAGGAAAGAGAGGAGTTCTACGAAAACAGTGCTAAATTGATTAAAGATTACTTTGGCGTCGAGCCAGACGTCCAGACCTGGATCCCTTCTCTCAGTGCTCTCTACTTTCATGTACAAGAGCCATTGGCAATGTCCTTCAAGAACGTCGAGCCCAGCTTAGCTGATGTGAATGGTGATTGGTCTTGCTTAGATTACCATTCGAGTGACGGGACGTCATCCTTGAAGCTCTTTTACCCAGATGCGAAGGAAAGAACCGTCGATGTAAGCAATACATCAGACTTCACGGAAGTGGGAATCTTTGCCATTGATGCACCTTCCTCAAGAGACAATATCATTCTCTCTGGTGCGAGGGTGGTGATGAATGACGAACCTGATCAGGATTTGGTCCAGAGGACACTTTTCCACGTTAAACCAAGACACAGATATCTCGAGCCAATTGATCTTTCTTACAAGCCAAATGGATTACACCCAGTTATTTCCTTTGGTGATGCTCCCGAACACCCAGTTGACGAGGATATCAAGAATTGCATCCTATACTCCTACTACACTCTCGAGAAGTCGATATTCCTCGATCCATACCAGATCCCACCAGGTTTTGACATCCTTGCAAACTATGGTACAAAGGATTTGGAGTTGCCCGAGTATTCTATCAAGCAGTGGGGTAACGAGGTTTTAGTGGAGCACAAAGATACTACTAGCTTTCCTTTTGACCTCACATTGCACACTCGATACCAGGTTCCAGATGCCGAACAACATAAGCACACAGCTCTCGATAAGCCTGTCGTTTTCTACGCTTGCGAAGCTCTCGTTGACCCATATCTTTTGAACAACTCTCCGTTCGATAACAAGAGGGCACCGGGAGGAAGTTTCGAAAAGTTCTTCACTGATGACACCATTTTCTACCATGCCCTGAAGCATGGATACTTTGATGTTGACATCCCGAGGGCCACTTTTGATGCAAATGCAACAAACATTGTGACATTACTTTCACTTCTTTTGGGGGTCTCAATTATCTTGTACAAAGTTTTCAGAAGAGTGTCCTCACAAAAGACCCCAAACCTGAAGAAGACGGAATAAATAAGTTTAATTCACCTCTATTAACAATATTGTAGACCACCTTCATCCTCTCCTTCCTCATCTAACCTATAACTCATCTTTTGTTGAAGACCTTCCAACGGGTATCACCTTGTATTCAACGAACAAGTCACCATATTCGTGCTCGTCATTGAAATGAGGCATCCCGTGCCCCTTGATCACTTCAACCTCTCCGTCTATCACGGGCACATTCTTTCCTCTCTTCACTGTCACGGATTCTCCGTCAAAGAATGCAATGTTTCGACTCCAGTCGCCTGCGTTGGCTTCTTTGCTTGTGAGGAGCTCTGTTCTGTAGAGATGATTCTTAATCCTACGGAATCCCCAATTTTCCGCAGAAGCATCTCTGAATTGAAGGTTCATGTTTCCAGCCACGAAGTCAGGATTCTGATCACCCTCGCCCTCCAAAACATGACGATGGTTACGCGGCGTACCAGGACTCACATAAACGTTGTAGTGTCTCGAAACACGCTCCGTACCTTGGCCCTCACATTTCTTACAGGGCTTTGCTATCGTCTGCCCTTTACCACCACACTGGTCACACTGGGACTGGAACTGCTGGATTATTGGGCCCATTTGTCTTCTCATCATGACAACACCACGCCCATCACATTTAGTACATGTATGTTTCTTGCCGTCTGCAGATCTACTACCCTTGCACTTGCTGCAAATGTTGTTCATCTCGACGTCAAACTCTAAATCTTTGCCTAGGAATGCGTCCTTCAAGGTCATCTCCACATTCACTTGGGTATCGGGGCCCTTTTGAACACGCCTTTGATGTCCATGGCCACCATGGAATCCACCTTGACCTTGGAAAAATTGGTTGAACATGTCACCAAAATCGAATCCAGCACCTCCACCTCCAAAACCTCCACCACCGTTGGCATCCCCAAACTGATCATAATTTTGTTTTTTCTGTGGATCGTTGAGTATGTCATATGCTTCTCCTATCTCGATAAATTTATCATGGGCCTCAGGCGACAGGTTTTTGTCTGGATGATACTGCTTCGACAACTGCCTGTAGGCTGTCTTAATTGTTTTTTCATCGGCATCTTTGGGAACTCCCAAGACGGAATACGGGTCTATGGCCGCAACGAAAGCTAGACAAACAAATAGAAACACCAGAAGTATCATGGCTGTTGTTATACTGATGAGTTAGATGGTTGCAAAGCGGTTTGAAAGATCTTACACGTATTAGGTACATAACGCTCGCGCTAGTGAAAATACGCACACGTGATTTGTACGTGACAAGTATGTGCAGTCAAATAAGTTTTTGGCAGCTACGTTGTTGGAAAGTCGACCGCCTCTGGGTCTAAGCTTCATTGAATTGATTGGTAACATCATAGTGAGTTTAGTATAACTTAGGGTGATTCGATTGTAGCACAACGTCAGACAAATTCCGCGATCTCTGCTTTGAAGAATGCCAAATCCTTTCGATGAGCCAGAGATCCGAGAGAAATTTAGACGACAATAGATTCATTTTGAAGGATGCTTTGTTGGGTTAATTCAAAAAAATGAAAAAAAAAAATAATCATGATTTCGCCCAGGATCGAACTGGGGACGTTCTGCGTGTTAAGCAGATGCCATAACCAACTAGACCACGAAACCGTAATAATGTAAAGGAAATTTCACCAGATGGACATATAGTGCATTAGTAATATGCCACAAGAAAACCTGCATATTGTAAAATTTCAGAAAAGTCATTAGTTTTGTTCCCAAAGTCCAAAACACCGAAATCTTGGTTAAATTCAGTCGTTCGAAAGTTTCTCGTAGCAGTTGCATGATCTCTATTCCAAGATTCTTCTGTTTTGCGTCCCATCAAGGTTATCTGAAGACTATGTCAATGCTCAGCGAAAGATGGGGCATTCGTGAGCTCAATTGGCCACAGATTTACTTCATCTTGAATGCTTCAGATTGCACTCGTAGCTCAAATGCAAGAATCAATGGAGACCTGCCGCTTCATTCTTCAGACGACCCTCTCGTGGAATCAAACTATTGATGAGTTTCCTGTACATTGTATGCACATACTAGTGGTCCACCAAGACCTTCAAGAAAAAGCTCCTTAGAATAATAGATCAATTCTGCTTGATGCAAGAGGTTATCAGCATTGCAGCATCATCATCACTGGGTCATCTTTGCACTCATCTTTACAACGTTCAGGAATCCTATATCCCTTACCTGAAAAAGACCAAAATCACACACCAGAATGACATCTTTTTAGAGCCATCAAAACAAAATGGAAGGGT